AGGAAAGCACCAGGGGCCCTTGTGGACTGTTCCTTGTTTTCTGGAAGCTGCAAAGGTTAGTGGCAGTCTCAGAATTCGTTAAGATCCCGTTGTCCATACTAGATTTCTGGAGTTGCTGCTGTATATTTTCTCTGACTCCTGAAGTTATTATTTTGCTTTTCTTGGGTACATAAGTTTTATTTTACAATTGGAAAACTAGATCTTTAATTTCGGAAGGAATTTTATTAGGCACACCGTGGTAGTTCTTTGGAGTAAATAAAGAAACTTTTATCAGTTATTTACGTAAGCTCCTGGTCCCTATGCTAAACTCAGTGTTCTAAAGAGAAAACTCTTAATTAGTAATCTCACAAATTTGCCGCATCTGGTCAAAGAGAGTTTCAGTTAGTTGCAGTAGGATTAGGCCAGTTATTGTTTATTACAAAAACTTGATAGTTTAATGTTTTTATTGTCTGGATGATCCTGCTTACTGCTTATTATGGGATGAGTTATTGTCTTTGCTGTAAGCAAACCTCGGTACTGAGAAGCAGACTGGATTGTACCAAAACCACCAATTAGCTGAGGTCAGAAAGCTTGAGCTCCTTCTTTCTAGAGATTTATGTGTGCCTCTTTTCTTTACTGCCTCTGGGCAAGAAAAGAGAGTACTTTCTGTTTTATGAAAACAAAGTGAATTTAGCTAAGGAAATGGAAACCTGTTGGCTCTTGCCAGTTACCTCACTTGATTTCCACGGGAGCACAGGCTTTGTCTTGTCTCATGTTGGGTGTGTATGTACATAGTATAGTAGTAACGAAGTTAATAGTGAAGCCAGCTTCCTGTGAAGTTCTAGGAGAAGCTCTGAGTTAGTAGTACAGTAGGATCCTAATGAGCTTAGTTTGTCTGTTACTGTAAAATTAACATTTAATGTATAGTGCTTATTAGAATTTGGGTTGTAGGTACTATTTGACAAGTTAGGTTTAGCTAAATATAAGACTATGTCATGTTATAGCAGTTGTTTATGTGTTAATAATGTAGCTTAATCCTTGTGAAATTTGTTATTCATACTCTTAATAGTTGTCTTGAATTTATCTTTTAATTAAAAACATTTGATGACAAAATAGGTTTTGTAAACCTTAGCTTCTAATTTCTAAGGAAGGTAATGATTCTTACCTTTTAGGGTTATTATAAGGGTTACATGCGTATGAAGCACCTGAGGTTCCTGACACAAAGAAGGGGTTCAGTACTGTTTGTTAGAATTGTTAGGAGCACTGTCCTATGGGTAATTCAAATTAGGTAGCATGTTGTATAATTCTTACCTTTATGGATGCAAGAATTCCACGTTTAAAACAATTAGAGAACCACATGATGAGAAATACTCGGTAAAGACAGTCTCATTCATTCACAAGCTCATTCGTTTCCTCAACTTGGACGGTTAGAAAGGGGCAAGAATAGGGCTGGCTGAGTGGCGCATTGGTTAAGAGTTGGCTTGGGTATGCCAGCTCTGAGCAGCAGGGCCCTGGTTCGGATCCCACATGAGGACCAGTGATGCTGCACCCTCTACAGCTAAGATGGTGAACAACAGCTCGACCTGGAATTGGGCTGCCTTTTAAAAGATTACACTGTGATTCAACATTTAAATGAAAAAAAGCAATGTATATGAAGAAAGGCATAGAAACATAACTATAGGATATTGATTTGATTTGATGTGTTTCACATTTTCTTGCAAAGCTACAATCAAGTGCTTTTTGGGACCTAAGAAAGGAAGATGCCATAGATATAATAAGTTTTATTACTGAGAAACACGCAGAAGAATTGCCTAACACATGCCAGGCAGTGCACCTGGAAGCAGGGGAAATTGCTATATTTTTCAACATAAATAAGAAGTTTTAGAGCTACAAAAAGCTGATGTGGTGGATTCATATGTGTCTGGTCGGACTGTCATGAAGGCATTGCGTCATAGATTAAGTAGCAACTGTTTTTCTCCTGAGTGGTGCATAAAATAATGCTTTTCATAACCGATGGCAACTTAGTTTCAGCCAATATAGTATTTACTTCAAATGTAGAATTTTCCTGATGATAGTTTGTGTAGAACTGATTGTACTAGTAAGTAATCAAAGATGTGTTTATATAAAGGCTGGCAAAAAATAAGAAAATTACTAAGATGTAAAAGTCAAGGTCAAAATACAAGAATAAAATCTTTGTATTGTTTTGCATTAAATAGGTATTCTTGCCTGTTTTCTTTGTCTTCTCAGATACAGCATGGCTTAGAGGTTAGAGTGCAGACTGGAGTCAGGCAGTCAGGGGTCAAATTTCAGCTCCGCCCCTTACTAGCAATAACCTGTGTAAGTTACTTAACCTCTATATGCCTCAGTTTTGTCAGATGGGCATAATGTCTATCTCAGGTTTGTTGTGAGGGTTAAATTACTTAATATATGTGAAGTGTTTAGAAGAACACTTAGCTAAAAATGAGCAGTGTGTGTGATTATTTTTTATGGGGAATATCTTCTGTGAACCCTAAGTATCAGTTGATATACAGAGTAATTTGAGGTAAAGACGTGATTATCCCATCATTACCTTCTTAGCTCCAATTTAAGTTTAATATGCTACTCATTTTGCCCTCCCAATTATATTATTTCACTTTTTTGGGGGGTACAATATTGATTTTGAGTTTTTAGAAAATTATGTGTGATTGAGAACTATAGAAGCACATACTTTTACACAACAAAATCAAATGGAATTAGAATGAATTTGCAGAAAACTTGTTAATATTTTATTTTTCTAAAGATCACATACTTTGTATTTCCAGCATTTGTCGAGGCTAAATCTGGACACCTGCTAGTCTGGTAGTCACTCTCCCAGTGCACAATGACTTCCTTTGACAAGACTCAGAGCCTCTAAGACTGCTGGTCTCAGCAGGGTCGCATTCCATTTCTAGCCTATGACTTTAGCCTGTGACTAGAACAGAAAGACTGTACAGGGATGTTTCAGTTAGTTATTTCTAGTTGTATGATACGTAAGTGTTGCACTGGGACCTCAGCTGTTGAAGAACATAGGATACTGTTTCTATTACAGCTGGCAGTGAATGTAGACTGCCTCTTGGGGACATATTACTAACTGAAAGATAGTTAACATTAAAGCATTAAGTATTGAATTGAAGCTTAATTCTTGGATGACCTTAGGAATGGTATAAATTAGATTTCTTCTCACTGAATTAAATTTGAACTATTTTGTTTTCAATATTCATTTAAATGATCATTATATCTTCAGTTAGGCCAGTCAGTTGTTTAAATTGAGCTTACTTGGCTGGCCGAGTGGCAGGTTGGTTAAGAGCTGGCTTGGGACGCCAGCTCTGAGCAGCAGGGCTGCCGATTCGGATCCCACATTAGGGTGAGTGATGCTGCGCCCTCTACAGCTAAAATGATGAACAACAGCTCGACCTGGAGCTGGGCTGCCGTGAGTTGCCAGCGATGGCGTAGGCTGCAGTGGGACTGCAGTGAGCTGTCATAAGCTACCGTGAGTGGCTGGCAGCTGGCATGAGTGGCCAGCAGCCGGTGTGAGCTGCCAAGAGCCACTGTGAGTGGCCATCCTATGGCCGGCGACCGATCTGCCACACCCGGGAAGAGCGCAATGATAATACCAACTTGGGCCAGTGAAGCAATGTCCTCCACAACGAGACTGAGGAGCAAAGGGACAGCAACTTGTCTGTTCCCCTTCCCCGATTCCCCAATAAAATCTTAAAAAAAAAAATAGATAAGTAAATTGAGCTTACTTGTAAATAGTTGTTTTGTGTTAACTTTTATCTGTGTGCGAAACAGGATAAAATGTTCCAGGGAAGATGTTAAGGCTACAGAGGGGTTATAAACTGATCTTGTGGTAGCTGGAATTGACCACAAGATAGATGTTTCCATGATTCAGATCAATGAAGAGAAAACATTCTATAGTTTATTCCCCCTGGAATTTTATTTATAATTCAGAAAATTCTAGCTTTACCTATAATTCATTTTATGCAATCAAACCTAAAGTTTTAACTATGATGTTGGTGGTATCATTTGTTAATTATGTGATTGGAAACTTATTGTCAGTGAAAAATGACACACACATGGCATGTGCAGTGAAGCTTAAAATAGCACATTATCACATCCATGCAGATTCCCTGGACTCTGTACATGACCGCCTTATGTACTGTTCATAGCAAGAAAGACCTGAGGCCCTTTAAGCGTCCCTCAAGGCTAGAATATTACCTTTAAATGTTTTATATACCTGTAGTTTTACTGTTTATTCATATTTCTTCCACAAGCACCAAAAGCATTTTCCACGACTAAGCTTTTAAAAGAGTCATAGACTTTGCATTTCAGGATGTGTCTGACAGTATTGAGGCCAGGGAAACTTTCCCCTTACCCCTTTAGTTCTTCTGACTGGTGGAATAATTCAAACGACATACAGCAGATTAGCAGGAGAAAATCAAATTTTAATATGTATGCACTGGGAATGCACATAAGCATGAAAATTCCAAAGACTGAGGCAAAATGAAGTATATATATCATTTTGGACAGAAGAGAAAGGAGGAGAAGAGTCTGGAATTTCAAAGGGGCAACAGGCAATTAAATAGGCATTTCAGAGGTAGACCAGAAAATGGCAGACACATTCTTTCCGGGGGGACTCGGCAACCATGAGACACACTTCATTCACAGGTGCTAAGGTTCCCTCCTGAAATAGGGTTTTCTATCGGAATGTCTTTGGGCAGGAAAAAGGGAGGTCACTTTTCCTAAGTTTGTTGGGCTTTAATTGTTTTCAGATTAAAATAATCTGCATGGTAGGGTGGCACATTCTAGGGAGATTCAACTGCCTCTATAGCCAATACCTTGTGGCTTGGAGGTTGTCAGTTCTTTAAAGTAAAAAATGCAGGTCTCAGGCCTGGTTATCCAAGATGCTTATACTTAATGCTTCAAATGTATCCAAGTTTACTTTCTGATTGACATATATCTGTGTTTTTTTGGTTGTTTGTTTGCTTGTTTCTCGAATACAGAGCTGCCAAATGCTGTTAAATCAGCTGAGAGAAATCACGGGCATTCAGGACCCTTCTTTCCTTCACGAAGCACTGAAGGTCAGTTTCAAGGCTTCTGTTAGTCAACAGGCTGTAAAGCAGTTGTCCTTATCAGGTTATGTCAGTTCAAGCTGTTGTTATGCCAAAATGAAAGTGCGTCTAGGGACAGAGGTTCTATAGGTTAAATGACTCATATGTTCAATGTGTAAATTATAAGAGGGGGAAATTACGCATATGGAGATTTGCAGTTGGGGGAGCCCTACAGGGTAAAAGAGATTTAAGAAACGTATCAACCAGTTGCATTGTAGAGACTTGATATGGCTCCTGATTCATACAAACAACTAAAGAATATTTGAGTCAGGGAAGTTTGAAAGTTATTTGATATTTTAAAAACTTGTTACTTACTCTTAAGATGTGATAATAGCATTATGGGGTATAGTTTTTAAAAGATAGATTCTGAAATGTTGACTGATGAACTGATAAGATCCTTAGGATTTGCTTCAAAATATCTGGAAAGAGGGTAGGCAGAATAGATAAAACAAAATTGACCGTGACTTGATAATTGTTGAAGCGGAGTGATGAGTACATGGGATTCAATTATACATTCCCTCGATTATTATAAATGTTGGAAAGTTTTCCTAGTAAAAATTAAAAACAAATAGAAGTATGGCCACCACTGCAGAATATGGTAACTGCTTGGCATTTGTATTGTAGAGGCTGACTTCATCGAGAATCTCTGTGTTAGTTGCCAGTCCCCTTTGGATACTTCATGCCTTAGCTATTCTGTGAAATCGGGAATAATAACATCCAAAGCAATGAGAAGAAATCTCCAGCAAGATTTCATTTTTGTTTGAATGTTATTGTAAATCAGAGTGTAGCAACTCCATCCCTATAACTAGGAGTTTGATATATGCTTTAAGCCTGGTAGACTTACTATCTTTATCATACTCTGTTTTTCTACTTTCTATCCTAGACTTATGCCTAGACTTACTCAGTATGTCACCAGGGTAGTAAGGACTTATAACCAAAAAACTCACTCACCACTTATTTTAAATGTGATGCTTTACTTTTGAAATTTCTTGTGTTTTTCTTCTCCTCAGGCCAGTAATGGTGACATTACCCTGGCAGTCAGTCTTCTCACTGATGAAAGAGTTAAGGAGCCCAGTCAAGACACTGTTGCTACAGAACCATCTGAAGTAGAGGGGAGTGCTGCCACCAAAGAAATATTAGCAAGTAGGTATTTCCTGTCCTAGTCCTGCTCTGAACTAGCAAAACATAAAACATGAGTATGTGTGAGTTTCCTATCGATTCCATCCACCCTTTGGAAATAATGGTAATGATAGCTAATTATTGAACCGTTACTTTGTGTACAATTCTAAGCACTTGCATGGAAGCATTCATTCATTTATTCATTCAGCACTTACTTAGTGAGCACCTACTATGCACCAAACACTCTTTTAGGCATTGGAGATGAACAAAAGAAAAGAATCCCTGCTTTCATGTAACTTATTTTTTCATGGGGAGATGAACAAATAAATAAATAATATAACAGAACATGGAGAAAAGTAGAGAATGAAATGAAAGACATGAAAAAGGAGTTCTGAGGATTGGATTGTAAATAGGATAGGCCTTTGAGAAGAGGTGAATATGCCATGTGAGGCCTTAACATGGGCGTATACCCATGTTGTTTAGGGAGCAGCAAGGAGGCCAGAGCTGAGGCTTACTGAGTGAGGAGGGCAGGAAGAGATGAGGCTGCAGAGGGAACCAGAGGCCTATCATGTGGAGCCTGCATCGGTGGTTGGCTTTTACTCTGAATTAGGTGGTAGCCATTGGAGAGTTTGGAGGAGAGGAATTATGTAAACGGGTTTCCATTTTCTAAGGATCGCTCTGACGACTGTGTTGGAAACAGAATATGGGGGAGTAGGTAGTGAGCGTGGGTCAGAGCAGGGAGCCCAGGACCAGTCAGGAGGCTATTGATGTTGGCATGGCCAGGATGTAGTGGGGGAGGGGTGAGAAGTGCTTGCTATGTTAGATTTGCTTACAGAAGAGATAAGGGTTGTGAAATAAAGAGGAGTTAAAGGTGACTCCAGGTTATTTTTTTTCCCCAAGCAGCTGAAAGGATGGGGTTGCACTTAAATGACAGAGCAATAACTGCAGAAGAAGCAAATTTGGGCTAGAAGATGAAGAGATCAGTTTTGGCAGTATTAAGTTTGAGATGCCTGTTAAGACATTCAGGTGGAGTGTCAAAAAGGCAGTGGAGACCCACGTGTGCAGTTCAGGGGAGAGATCTGGGCTGGAGATAGATAAAACTTGGAATTATAAACCTGTAAATGGTATGTAAAGTTATGAGATTAGATGAACTCTCCAAGGGTGTGGGTATAGAGAAAAGAAAAGGTTCAGTGCCTAAGCAGTGGGTACGCCCGATGTTGAGATTGGGTACTCCCGGGGAGGTGAAGAGTGTTGAGGGATTTCAGAGGAAGACCAAAAGAACTAAAAGAGGGGTACTCTAATTCCAGGAGAAGAGAACCATCAGCTGGGTCAGGTGGTGTTAACACATATTTGGGCTGTTTGCAGTTTTGAGATATTCTGAGTAATGCTGGTATGAATATTTTTGTATATGTCTTTGGTGCACGTAGTGACTCTTTTCAGTCAACATTTTTTTTTTTTTTGGAGACTCATGTCAAAGGTTATAACTAGTTCATTTGTTTTCACTGGTGTACAGTATTTCATGGTCTGAATCTACCACAGTTTATGTATTTATTGACTGGGTGGTTTCAGATTTTTTTGCTGTTGTAAACAAGGCTGCTGAGAGCTATTTTGGTTCCTGTTACTTGTGCATGGCTAATGATGTAGAGCAGCTTTTCATATGCTTATTGGCCATCTGTATATCTTCTTTGAGAGAAATGTCAATCCAAATTCTTTGCCCATTTTAAAAACTGGGCTGTATGTCTTTTCATTTATTTAGTTGCACAAGTTCTTTAGATACTCTGTATATAGGTCCCTTACCAGATACATGATTTGTAAAAATATTCTCCCATTCTGTGGGTTGTCTTTTCACTTTCTCGATGGTGTCCTTTGAAGCCCAAAGGTATTTTAGTTCTATGTCAAATTTACCTATTTTTCAGTTGTTTGTGCTTTGTGTGTCATCTCTAAGATGCCATTACTTAATCCAAGGTCACAAAGATTTACATCTGTGTTTTCATCTGTAAGTTTTGTAGCTTAGGTCTTATCATAAGGGCTTGATCCACTATAAGTTCATTTTTGTAAATAGTATGAGGTAGGGGTCATTCTTTGTATGTGAATATCCAGTTTGTCCCAGCACCATTTTTGAAAAGATATTCTTTCCCTCTTGAAGTGTCTTGGTACCTGAGATGAAAACCACTTGACCATAAATATGATGTCTTATTTCTGGACTCTCCATTCTGTGTTCGTTCTCATGCCAGGAGCACGCAGTCTTCATTACTACAGTTTTGTGTCTTTTTAAATTAAAGATTCTTCACTGCTCATGTACAGAAATTCACTTAACTTTTTGTACATTGATCTTTTATCTAACCACATTTCATTCATTATAACTATTCTTTATAGATTAGTTTGGGTTTTTCTTCCATGTGATAATTATGTCAATTCTGACAGCTTTGTTTCTTATTTTCCAACTCTTATATTTTTTAAAAAATTATTTTGTTTTTATATTGCATTGACCAAAATTTTCAGAACCACAGTGAATGAATAAAAGCCCTGTTAGTAGACATCTTTGTCTTAGTCTTGTTTTTAAAGGAAATGTGTATAACATTTCAGCATTAAGTGTAAAGTTTGCTGTGGGCTTTTTCATGGAATCTATCTCAGCCTAAGAATATTCTCTTCTCTTCCTAATTGGCTTGGAATTTTTATTCCTAAATAGAGATTATCAAATACTTTTTCTGTATCTATTGAGATTTTCATTTTTTCCTTTAACTGTTAAGATAGTGAATTTTACTGGTACATTTTCTAATGTTAATTCAGTATTTCATTCCTACAGTGAACTCAACTTGCTCTTAATATATAACCTTTTTTTGTACATTACCAGGATTCTATTTGCTAATGTTTTGTTTAGTTTTTTTGCATCTGTGATCATGGGTGAATTTGTCATTTACCCTCTCACTTACTGTGATTGGCTTGAGATAATCCGACGGGTGATGCGGACTTCATCAAATGAGTTGAGGAGTGTGTCCTGTATTCTCTAGAATAGTTTGTGTGAAATAAAAAATATCCATTCTTTGAATATTCAATATGTAGCTAGCTGATGCTTTACAATGATAAGTAAAGAGACTATTTAACCTACAGATATGGGATATATTGGGTTGTTGGAAAAGTCATGATGTATTTTTTTCTATGTTTTTCGTTGCAAAAATGCATCATGACTTTTCCGACAACCCAGTATTCTACCTCTGGAATAAGATTGCAAAAGAAGGTATTTGATTCATTGCCTTTTAGCAGCTTTTTATTACTGTACTATTAGCTAATCTTAGGGTTACAGTAGCTGTAAGTTATTTATTTAACTCTGGCATAGAGTTATAAAATTGTTGGGAAACAGATGAGCCATTGCAGTGAGAGGTATGGAGTATATCTAGTTTTGTGAATGCTTTTATTTTTTTTCCTGCAATATAGACAGAAGGACAGTGTTTCCTGCATGTAGACTAATTAAATTTCAATTTATCTTACAGAAGTAATTGACCTTACTCATGATAACAAAGATGATCTTCAGGCTGCCATTGCTTTGAGTCTACTGGAGTCCCCCAAAGTTCAAGCTGATGGAAGAGATCTTAACAGGTTATGGATTTAATTTATAGTCTTTGCTCTCCACGTTAGTGTGTAGGTCAAAGGCAATAGCTCTGTGAATGCCACTGAGGAACAATTCTGCCAAGCTCCTTGAACTGCACCTCAAATAAATTTCTTTTAGGAGAAAATTTAAATTCACATTAGCTTAACTTACTCTGGGTCACTTTTGAAAGAGCCAGATTTATCATAAGTGTCTTTTTACAGCCTGTGGTTTTTGAGTAGAAGCCTGCAGGTTTTGTAGTTCATAATTGCTAATTGACGGGGAAAAACCCCACCCTAGTGCAAGTATCCAATACATTTGTATGCCCTTTTTAAACTTTGATCTTTTGTAAACTGAGAGGGTTATGTTTTCCATTTAAAAATGAAATTATTGCTTAACTACCTTCTCTCAGAAGTGAACAGGGAATATACTTTTTTGAATTGGTATTGATTTGGTGGTTGTCTGGAATTGTCCATAAATACCCAGTTCCAATGGTGGCCTGTCAGTTTCGGGACATATTTATTCCCTCATATTGTTGAGTTGTTTCTTTCATGGAAACACAGGGCCATGGTTTGTGTGCTAGACAGTTTGGAGGCTCTTATCTTTAGCAGGGTGTCTCTCTTGCCTCTTTCAACAACACGGTCTGAGCTAGAGCACTGTTGTTGAAATCTAAAATTTTTAATATGGTAGCCATAAGTAGTCTCGATCCTGACTCAGTTCCATCATGGACCGTATTGGTAATAATCTTTGTTATGGAAGGATTAACATCTCTATGTTTAAACTTTACTTCTCTTTTACGCTGTAATCTTACAGTTACTATATAGCCAGTGATCACCCAGTAAATAGTTTCTCTGGCATTTTGAAATTACCTATGAAATGTTACCAGCATCCTCCGTGTAGCATATTGTTCTTTAACTTTTTCTTTTTCTTGATGTGTGGTTTTGGTACAATATAGGATGCATGAGGCAACCTCTGCAGAAACCAAGCGCTCAAAGAGAAAACGCTGTGAAGTCTGGGGAGAAAATCCCAATCCCAATGACTGGAGGCGAGTTGATGGTTGGCCAGTTGGGCTGAAAAATGTTGGCAATACATGTTGGTTTAGTGCTGTTATTCAGGTATGATATTTTTAAAAGACAAATGTGTCTTCTGGAAACAATTTTGTAATTTATTAAACTGAAATATGAGAAACAGATCTTTAAAAAAATGGAAACACATATATAAAACTGGGGCGTTTTCCCCATGGCATTATTGTGTTTTGGTTGCTTTCTTGTGTTTTGGATTTAGAGCTGGTGTCTAAATTGGGCAACACTAAAAATGAAATCTGTGATTGTAAATATGTTGAGTAAATGTTTTGGATCAGCATTTAGTGAATACTGTGTTATAGCAGACAAGAATTAATAAGGAGGAATCAATTGTTGGGAGGCTGTCATAGATATCCAGGCAGGCAATGATGGTGGCCTTGAATAGAGAAGTGGCATAATCCACAAAAGGAGAGAAGTAAAAGCATTTAGAGACAATTAGGAAATCAAAACTACATGATTTGGTGAGTGACTAAATTCAGGATGACATATGCAGGAGAGAGCTGAGAAAGACTCCCAAGGTTTGTAGTGTAAGTAGCCAGGTGGATGATAATGCCATTTGACACTGAGGAGGGTGTGTGTTTTGAGTGTGTTAAGAGTGGGATTTCAGTTTAGTTTTATACATGCTGAGGTTGAGGTGCCATATGGAGATACCTATATAAATCTGTAGTTCAGTAAAAAGATCTGGGCTGCTGGTACAATTCTGGGAATCATAACATACATGGTGATAAAGCAAAGGGCATGGGTGAATTCCCTTAGAGCAGTGGTTCTCAACCTTCCTAATGCCGTGACCCCTTAATACAGTTCCTCATGTTGTGGTGACCCCCAACCATAAAATTATTTTCGTTGCTACTCTATAACTGTAATTTTGCTACTGTTATATGAATTGTAATGTAAATATCTTTTTGTTTTCCGATGGTCTTAGGCGACCCCTGTGAAAGGGTCGTACGACCGCCAAAGGGGTCGCAACCCACAGGTTGAGAACCGCTGCCCTAGAGAGAGAGTTGCCTCTCTAGAAGTATCTCCAGGCATTAAACCTAACATGGCCACAACATAGCACTTGATCCTGCCCCTGCAGCCTTCGCCATCATAGCACTTGACATAATACCTGATCCAGCTCGTCAGCCAAAAACAGAGTCCTCCTTTTCCACACACAAAATCCATGGATTCATTCAACTTACTATGTGCCTGGCACTGTTTTAGCACTGGGGAAACAGCAGTGAATACAACGGCCCTTACACTCATAGAGTTTCCTTTAAAAAGAGTGGAACAGACAGTAAACAAAATATGGATCAGGTGGTGATAAGTGTCATAAAGATGAATGAATGAGGGTTAGAGGGGCATAGTGATGGGAGAACTGCTGTTTATTTAGAGTGGTTAGGTATGGCTTTTCAAATAAGGTGGGCATTTGAGCAGAGGCCTACATTAGGCGAGGGAATGAACCATATAATTACATAAAGAACATTTCATATAATTACATAAAGAACATTGTAGACAGAAGGAACAGCAAGTAAAAAGACCCAGGTTCAGGAGCTTGCTTAATGAGTTGAGAAATAGGAAGCAGTCTGGAACTGAGTGATGGGGGAGAGGGTAGACAGACAGCAATGAGCTTAGAAAGGTAGTGAAGGTGGGCTGGGGAGCTTGGGGTCATTAAGAGAATTTCGGGATTATATTGGGTTGTCGGAAAAGTCATGACATATTTTTTCTATGTTTTTTATTGCAAAAATACGTCATGACTTTTCCGACAACCCAATATATGAGACGAGAAAGCTCTGTAAGCTTTGGAGCAGAGAATCGGTATCCTACTTCCATTTAAAAAGGATCACTGGCATCTGTGTTGAGAATAGAATTTAGGAGGGTAATGTAGAATTAAGGACATCAGTCAGTTCTTTCCTAGAGAGATTGAGAACCATCCCTGGATTCACATACCCCTCAGCCTTCACTCCTATGAGCGATACTGAAAAGAACTGGCAGATAGAGGGGATAACTGAGTAAGGCTTCTGAGAAGGCATGAGGACAGGAGATAGAGCATACAGCGAGGGGCTAGGAAAGGGGCAAGGGAGTAGTAAGGAAAGGAGAAGAAAGAAATGGTGACTGCAAGTTAAAGTTGATGTAGTTCATTTTTTCCCCCTCTATGAAATAAGCAGCCATTTTCTGGCACAGAGTGGAGAAGTAATAGAGTCAGATTTTCAGTAGATTGTAAGTTTAAAAGAATTGTTGCAGACAGTGGGAACCCTTGGCACCAGAATATAATTGTAGGATTTCTAAAAATTTGAAGGTCTACTTGAAGTTGTTGCCCTTGAATGTATGGTGATATTACTATGTCCTGTTTCTATTGGGACTTCCTCTTAACAGCCCTCTAAAACTCTTAAATGGAAAATTAAATTCTTCTAGGTTGGAGGATTTCTGGGTACAATGAAAGGACAAAAGCACAGTTTGGGATTGTAATGAAGGGTGGTTAAAGACCATGGAATCAAAGCTAGAGAGAGGGAAAAATGAAGATAAGATGGAAGATAGGTTAGGGAGAAAGGAAAGAGGTCAGCTTGCTTGGGTTCCTGGTGAAGACAAAGAGCAGATGTCCTGTGGATAGCTGAACAAATAAGCCAGGAGACAGGTTATGGTTCAAGAGTGGGACTTGCTGAATTTGTGATCTGAGAATTGGCGGTTTTTCAGGTATTGACATACCCTGGGTGTGGTCTTGGATGTGGGTATAGAGATGGAATGGAGGAACATGTCTTTGGAGAGAAGATGTTCAGAAAGTGGAAGGGTCCCTGGGCTGAATGGATGAACATGTGTTCCTTCCACAAATACTAGTTGAACACCTGCTGTAGGTCTAGTACTGTTCTAGGCCCTTGAGATATAGGAGTGATCAAAACCAAGACTGAGCCTAGCCATTATGGAATTAAAATTCATGTGAGGCAAGACAAGTAAGGAGCAATAAACCGAAAAACTAACGAGTTAACTAAATAAATGTATATAATATGTTAGACTATGATGGTGTGATAGAAAAAACAGCAGGGTAAGGGAAATGGAAGCGGGTTGCAGTACAAACTATGATGTTAGGCCAAGGAAGATTTGCCAGGTACATAGGAGGTGAGGGAGTGAGCTAGGCAGCTATGGGGAAGGAACATTCCAGGTAGGGGAAACCATGGAGCAATACCTTCAGATGAAAAGAGTGTGTTCACGGGGTTGGTGTGTTCACAGGACATCAGGGAGTCCCAGTTGGCTGCAGTGCTAGGAGCAGAGGGCAGAGTCATTGGAGATGAAGTTGGGAAGTAACTTGTCTTTTGTTTGAGTGAGATGGGGAGTCACTGAGTGTTCTGAGCAGAGGACTGATGAGCTGTTTCTGACCTGAGTTTTAAATGGCTCACTCTGGCTGCTGTGAGGCGAGTAGATGGAGTGGGCAAGGATACAAGTGGAGAGACCTGTTATGGAGGCTACTGCAGTCATTCAGGTGAGGGGTGATGGTGGCCTGGACTAAGCTGGTAGTTGTGGAAGTAGAGAGAGGTTGGATTCTTGATTAATTCTGAAGGTAGAGCTAATGTCCCATGGATTGGATGTTGACTCAAGTCACCTAGTAGGATGACAGGACTTGGACTAGTAAGAAGAGCTATTACCAGATGGTAGTCTTCAGTGAGTCAGGGGCTTTATTTTGGTCGTTTTAGAAAGATAAAACAACCTGCGTGGCAAGTGGATTGGTACAAGGGAAGTCCTGGAGGCAAGGAGACCATGTGCAGTGATCCAGGTGAGCAGTGATGGGAGTTTAATTATAGCAGCTGCTAGGGACTGGTAGGGAGGAGGTGGTTATAAACAGCATCCCGGAGGCTGAGTCCAGGGGACTTCTTTCTTATTGGATGTAGACGGTTAAGAAAGGAAAAGGATTTGAACATTATTCTGAAGCTCTAAACTTTGATGACTGGAGGAGGAGGATGTAATTAAAGGATACAGAGAACAAAGAAGCAGCAGCACATGTTGAAGGGTCATATCAAAATTGGATTAGGAAGTGGGGAGTTCACTTTTGTGGGTTTTAAGAACAATGACACCTTTGGGGCAAGCTCAATTTTGGAGTGGAGTGATGTGACTGACAATGTAAAGGCATTTTTATTATGGTAGAACAGAAGTCCTGGAAAATGGGATGGGGTGGTGAGCAGGAGGTGGAAACCAGGAGGAATGGAGATGTGTCAGGTAGACAGGTGAGGTGGAAAGAGAGGACAGCGGGCCGGTACAGAGCTGAGCAATCTCGCTCTGTCTCCAGATAGAACTTTGGTGTAGCAGCGTGACCTGACTTTAAATTCCCTGTGCAGTTGTACACCTACCCTAATGGTGGAACCATTAGGTAAGGCTTGTGATTGAATGAGGGAAGTTGGAGGCCTCTTGTCTGCTCAGGATGCTGCTTCAAGAGTTCCAGCATACAGGCTGGAAGGGCTTTCATTTGAGGAGTATGTTGGGATGAGGGGTTATAGTCGTACCAGGGAATTAAAAAAAAAACAAACATTAACTTTCAAAAGATAATCATAGTGGGAAAATGTATGATTTATAAAATGATAGAGTCTTTCTCCCCAATTCTGCCAGCAAGAGATACTTGCTGTTAAAAATTTTTTAATGTAATACTGTGACAGAGTGGAGAATAGTAAACACTGCTGTACTCACCATCCGGCTGCCTAAATAAGTGTGACAAATCTCTGTGCTGTTGAGTCTCTGTTGCTACCATCCCTAGTCACATCCCCCCTTCCCCTCAGATGTAACCACACATGTATATATCCCTAAACAATATATAATATTGTTTATATATAATTATACTTAATATAAACACTGTAATGCTGTATTTTTCTGCAACTTTTTTTCCCCACACAAAATATATTTCTGAGATTTATCCATGTTGATACGTGTAGCTCTTGATCATTCATTTTCACTGCTGTGTAGCAGGTCCATTTTATGAAAATATTTTTTTCTACAAAATTATTTTAATGACTACATAATATTCCATTGTATAAACGTCCTATAGTTTATTTAATCTATTCCTCTTCTTAGCCATTAGGTTGTCTAGGTTTTTCCTAAAAGAAGGAACATTCTTTCAGCTACATTTTTACGCATAGCCATTATTATTTCCCTAGACATAACAGAAGTAGAATTACGTTGACAGTTATATGTACTTGTAAGGTAAAAGAAGTATTTTTTTGCTGCACTTATTTTGAAAGAAAGGCTATGAATCCATTTCTTTCTTTATTTCAGTCTCTCTTTCAGTTGCCTGAATTTCGAAGACTTGTTCTCAGCTATAGTCTGCCACAGAGTGTGCTTGAAAATTGTCCAAGTCACACAGTAAGTTGCTGTTGTGGAATCTTCACCGTTGTTTAGTCCCTTTCATCCCAAAGAGTTTTTAAATGTTGGGCTAAAGCTGATAACTACGATGCTCTTTTGCTTGTGCTAATATTGTTTTCATTTCCAAATGGCTCTTTTTCCTTCTTTTTGATAAGAAATAAGGGTTTTCAAAATGTAAAGTTAAGTAGGAGTAAAATTAGAAAAACAGTTCCAAGAAAGTGATGAGTCACCCTGATGGCCTCAGCATGTCTGCATCTGGGTGAGAGATTCAGAAAGCCCTGTTCATCCTTCACTGCTCTTTTAGCCATTCAGGCCAAGCGATGCGGAATAGGTGGCCTGATGCTGGAGACCTGGGCCTTCTTAGAAGAGGCTTTAGTCTGTGCTCGTCAAGGATAGCGCCTCCTGCCAGTGATCTAAACCTGCCCAGGATTTCACCTTGGTGATGGACTTTCCTAACAGGAGGGAGGACAGCGGCTTCAGAAAACAAACATTTTTGCCCTTCTGACAATGTTATCTCTCTGGCTTCTACATAGATATTCTTTCAGTAGTATAAGTAATTCCCTTTACCAGGGGTTGGCAAACTTTTGAGATGGAAGAGCCAATCCTGTCCCTCATAAAAATTATTCGGGAGCCATAAAACAAATGAAATCACCATTATGTGAATAATATCCTTTAAAAATTTTATAAATGAAACTATGGTAGTTTTATTTTCATTTTCAGTTTTACTTCAGAGCCACATGGACGTATCCAAAGAGCTGCATGTGGCTCACGAACCACAGTTTGCTGACCCCTGCCCTATGCCAACCTTATCAGAGTACCTGTAACATAGTTTGAGACCTGACCCTGGTCTAGATCTAGTTAAATATAAATTAGGGAGTGATCATTGACAGCTTTTCTCTTTATAAGTTCTAATTTTACAAGTAAGAGGTTAAGAGTACACATTGCTGTCTTTTCTGCAGGAAAAGAGAAATATCATGTTCATGCAAGAGCTTCAGTATTTGTTTGCTCTGATGATGGGATCAAATCGCAAATTTGTCGACCCTTCAGCAGCTCTGGATCTCTTAAAGGGAGCGTTCCGATCACCTGAGGAACAGCAGGTATAAGAAAGCTGTTCTTCATATGTTTTCCCTCAAACTCTGCGGAGTTTGAAATTATGCCTTGTTAGTATTACTGTAGTGTTGCTTTATTTTAACTGTGTAATAAACTGACCATGACTAAGCAGGACTGCGAATGCCTGCTTTTGCCCTTTATAAAGCCGAAGGACAGGAGAGAGAGAGAGAGAGAGAGAGAGAGAGAGAGAGAGAGAAAGTGAGTTCTGTGGGAGAGAGAGAGAGAGAGAGAGAGAAAGTGAGTTCTGTGGAGAGAGAGAGAGAAAGTGAGTTCTGTGGGGGAGGCTGGCAGTTCCAGAGGGAAGAAGAATAGTATCAGAAAAAACAGAATCATACAGAGGCTGCTGAAGTCGGAGGACGCTGGAAAGTATCTCAGTGAATTCTAGCAAAGGGTCACTGAGAAAAGTAAAGTCCTTTGTACCTTTATGTTGGGATGGCCCAGATAGAAATCTTATTTTTAAAGCTATCTATACCCGAGTTCAGCTTTTCTGAGAAATCTTTCTCTTCTAGATGTTAGTGCTTTCTTTTCCCTTCCTCCTATTAAAAAACAAAGTTGTCACTATTAGTGGCATAACAATTTTTTATCTAAAGGTCATACAATTCTACAAAACTCACAAAACGTTTCATAAAAGCTTCCTTTCTCCATTCATAAATTCTAGAGGACTACCGTCTGTTCTTTGGACCTTTTTTTTAAGGCCTAACTGGAAGATTTTGTTTGTTTGTTACAAGCAGATGTGGCTGGAAGTCATAGAGTTCCAGTTTCCTCCTAGAGACAACTTAGCGGTTGCCTGATGTGCCTTCTGTTTCATCTGTAGTTGATGGGTTCCAGCATTTCTAGTATCTCCATGATATTAGGCCCTAAAAAAGAAATCCTTTCATAGTAATAGAATCTTAGTCATTGGTGGGATAAAAGCAAATGTTCATTTCCCTAACTGGGTCTAACTCTTGTGCAATTTGTACCTCTCTTATAGCAAGATGTGAGTGAATTCACACACAAGCTCCTGGATTGGCTAGAGGACGCGTTCCAGCTAGCTGTTAATGTTAAGTGAGTGTCGAGGATTTGTTTGTACATCCTTCTTACTCACAGTGGTCCAGTGAGAATTATAACATGGGAGAAAATTATTCGTCTCAAGTAGAAATTGCTGTGTTAGCAAATCTCATGGGGTAACCCCTCAGATATTTGTTGTTGTGTATCCACATTGCCTATGGCTTTTCCCTCTGAGGATATAGATAATCATGTTAACCTACAATTTTTTACTAAAAGGGCCATAACTGTTAACTTTTTTTATTTTCTTTTTTAATTTTATTGGGGAACAGCCATGGTCATTGGTTACACATTGCTTTCATGCTACAATGGCATAGTTGACTCTTTTAGGGAGGGCGCAGCTCACAGTGGCCCATGTAGGGATCAGACCAGCAACCTTGGTGCCATCAGCACTGTGCTCTAACTGACTGAGCTAACTGGTCACCCCCATAACTGTTAACTTTGTTAAGTCATAGCCTTTGCTGTAAAATGTATTAAAAGGTTAAATCAATCCTAGATGTGAACATGATGGTATAACATGGATACATTAAATTTAATCTAAGATGATTTATGAGTGTCAGAGAATAGCTTTTATTCCTGTCAGTCACTGATAGAAGTGAAATTCAGGTCAAATAATACAGGTATCCTTTATCTAATACAGGTGCTGAGAAATTTGTTTCGAAGTTGTTTTAACTCTAGGTAGAAGAAACAGATAAAACAGTTTTGCAAATAGCAACTTATATAGTTAACAATTTAAGATGGGCTTGAAGAAATAAACTACAGTTGAGCTTGAACAACACAGGTTTGAACTGCATGAGTCCACATATACATGGATGTTTTCAGTAAATATATTGGAAAAATTTTTGGAGATTTTGTGACAATTTGAAAAAACTTGCAGACAAACCATGTAGCTTAGATATATCAAATAAATTAAGAAAAAGTTAGGTATGTCATGAATGTAAATTATACGTACATATTTTCTTATTTTCTTAGTGTTTCCTTTCACTTACTTTATTGTAAAAATACAGTATATAATACATATAACATACAAAATATGTGTTAACTGACTTCATGTTATTGGTAAGGATTCCCATCAGCCGTAGGCTATTAGTAGTTAAGCTTTTAGGGAATTGAAAGTTGCAGTAGATTTTCAACTAGAGGGGATCGGCGCTCCTAATCCCCACATTGTTCAAGGGTTGACTGTATTTTCATTCCATTACCATTGTACCACTGGGAAGGCTTTTCCCTGTTTATTTGCAGAACTGCACAAGAGGATTCATTGTTACCTCTTATACTACTTTTATACCTTTCCGACAGCTATCATTGGATATAAATGTATATTGTATATTCAGTGTATGAAAATAGCATGTGTGACTGCCCTGTTACACTTTGAGCTCCTTAAGGCCAGGGATCATACCTCATTGTGTCTTCAGAATTTAGCACTGTGCTGGGCATATACTTGTTCAATGAATGTTTGAACTGAAATAATCTGTTCCTTATTTTAGACCATACTTTCCTCTTTGGAGTTTGATGAAAATGTACCATTTTTGCTTTTGAATGATGGTTGGGTTTAGTGTAGTGCTTATCTGACCCAAATGATAACAGAGTTGTCTTCTTTTTTTAAAAGCAGCAACCCCAGGAAGAAATCTGAAAATCCAATGGTGCAGCTATTCTATGGTACTTTCCTCACTGAAGGGGTTCGTGAAGGTAAACTTTCTACTCTAAATGTTAATGCTAGTCCTGTGAGCAAACCTGTATTACTGTGTCCATTTGGGGAGGCAGTATAATGAATATAATGAAAAGCCTTGAGAGTAAGACAAATGCAGGTCTGAATATTGGCTCTGCCTCTTAGTGTCTGTGTAATTGTGGGCAAACTATGTGAGCTCCTGGATTATCAGTCTCTTCATCTATAAAATGAGCCCAGTCTTTATCTAAGAGTTGTTATATTGTATAACGTTTGCACTGGCCAAATCTAGTATTAATGTCAGACACGCAGTGATGTTACTCAGTTTTCTCTGAGTTGTTTTTTCCAATGTAATATCTAATCTCAAAAGGTTTTATTGAGTTAGACTGCCAAAACTGTCTACAAAAGAGGCATAAGCTGCATGTTGGACACATATGAGATGTGGTCGAAAAATACGGTGAATGTTTACATTAAAAAATTTATTACAGTAAAAGACACATTGCCATTAATCCCCCTCAAAATACTCCCCTCACTTCGAACACACTTATCCCATCATTCTTGACACTTTCTGAAGCAGTTCTGGAAGTTCTCTTTTGTGAGTGTCTTTACTTCATCCTCCATCATGACAACACTCCATGTCACACATCGCTTTTGGTATATGGCAGATTGTCAAATAAAAACATTACAGTGTGTCCTCATCCACCTTATTCACTGGATCTGGCAGCGTGTGACATCTGGCTCTTCTCCAAAGTCAAAATGACCGTGAAAGGTAAACGTTTTGAATCGATTCAGGACATCGAGGCAGCCATGACAGCCAAACTTAAGACACTCATGAAATAGGACTTCCAGAACTGCTTCAGAAAGTGGCAAGAATGGTGGGAGACGTGTGTTCAAAGTGAGGGGAGTATTTTGAGGGAGATTAATGGCAATGTGTCTTTTACTGTAATAATTTTTTTTTTTAATTTAAACATTCACCATAGTTTTGGATCACACTTCATAAGCTTTTTTTTTGTTCAACTGTGGAGAATTATAAACACATACAAATAGACCTGTATAAAACCCCATGAACTCAGCATCCATTAGCCCATGGCCAGTCATTTTCCATCTAACCCCTATCTACTTACTCCTCTGACATTCTTAATATCAAATATCTAGTCCGTATTCAAATTGTTAATTTGTTTTATAATTATGTACATGGAGGGAAAGTGTGAGTGTTTATTTTTAGTTTGTTTTAATTAGGATCCAAATGTGGTTCATTTATGATTGGTTGATATGTCTTTTAAGTCTCTTTTCAAAACCTGTTCTCTTCCCCCTGCCATTCTTTTTCTTGAAGTGTGTGTGTGTATGTGTATTTTTTTTTTTAAGAAACTGAGTTATTGGTTCTCTCGTATTAGTGTTCCCCACACTCTGAAATTTTGCTGTTTGCATAGCCATGATATAGTTTAACATGTTCCTCTCTACTCCTTTTTTTGTAAATTGATATTTGGAGCTAGAGTTTTACTGGATTCAGGTAAGGCTTCTTTTGGCAAGACAAATTCACATGTGGTGGGACAGTCTTGATTAGGAGGCATTTGATATCTCCATGATGTCTTCCTTTTTGCAATGTTAGCAGTTGTTAATGATCAATGCCTAGATCCACCTGCTCATTAAAAGTTGCCAAACAGGCTTAAGTGCACTTCTAACCAGTTCTCAGGATGTTGCTGAATTAAGATACTGTCTCTGTGGTACCAGAAAAAAAGGCTTTAGCTAGCGTGAGTGATGTCTTTTAAAAAGCAATCTGTTTCTTTGTCTAGGAAAGCCCTTTTGTAACAATGAGACCTTCGGCCAGTATCCCCTTCAGGTAAATGGTTATCGCAACTTAGACGAATGTTTGGAAGGGGCCATGGTGGAGGGTGACGTGGAGCTGCTTCCTTCCGCTCATTCAGTGGAGTATGGACAAGAGGTGAGTTGGGTATTTTTTTTTTTTTTTTGGTATGCCCGTGACAAAGCCAGTTAAGTAGGACTGAGGTTTTTTGGCAAGTGGTTTTCCCATCAAATATTAAACAACTTTACACTTAACAGAACTTGAATTTGTCTGAAGTTTCTCATGAGTTGATATAAGTTGGTGAGTCTTAGTATTTGATAAATTCTGTACTAAAAGTATGCATTTGAGTTAAATCATATAAAGGTTGTATGCTGCTTCTGATGTTTTAAGTATGATCAAGTTTCTCTCTTTCTGTTGAAGCCTACCTGTACCTGAGTAGGGAGAACCCACTGCCTCCATATTTTCGGAGGGTAAAAGTACAGTGATTAACTCCTATGGTATGCCATTTAGAATATTTTCCCTATTATAGCATTTACTGTTTTCAGTGATAAACTTTGCCTTTGATTTAAGTTTTTGTTTACTTTTATATTCATTTATTTTATTTTTGTGGGTTGGAAAGAAAGGGGGAAGTTAAAGGGAGAGCAAGGGTAATTAATATCTCAAAATTCCATCTGGGTTAAGAATTAGTGAGTTGCATTAAGTATTAGTGTGTTGTCAACACCACACAGCTTGGATTATTCTCCTTTCATCATACATTTTGAGACAAAATTGTGGCTTCTCTGAGTCCAGCTCAGTAATTAAGAAAAAAAAGCTTGCTTGAATTAAAATAGGGGGCCTAACATGAGCCTTGTCAAAGTGCATTAGTGGTAGAGCAGCATTGGAACTGAGAGAGTTACTGCCTCCCTAGCTTTTCAAGGAAAGTGCTAATTCCTGATTGGGAGGCATGACATCTGCACCATCTGCGTGGAGCTGATACATGCTCTTAAAAAGAGAAGGAGTGTTCATTAGCTTCTTAGTCCTCTGGAGACTTTTATTCAAGGATGGGAACTCTTTATAAAAAAATTGTAAACAGAAAATCATTATGCTTGTTTAGATTTAGCCCTGAGTTAGTCAGACGGGATATCTGGATTCACCTTGTGTCGACAAGGGTATGTGAAGGGAGCATAGCTGTTTATACCTTTGGTAAAGGGAACATTTTAAAGCTATTTGTACAGACTTCTGGTATACAGGTGAATTGAACAGAAATGCCTTTCCTGGTTTAGCTTTTTCTCATCAATGATCCATGACAGTTGAGATCTTTTGTATAAGTCAGGGCTGTCTATTCTTGAAACTCAAGGTAACATTGTAGGTTCATTTGTCTGGGTCCCTTAAGAGACATCTGTAAATTCTTGGAATTTACAGATTTTCTGAGAAACTTGAGAAGTCATAATCATGAGGCTATTTCAAGTTTCCTTTTTAGATATAAAGGGGATTCAGATTATGTTAGTAGACTGTAAATAAATAGTATATAATATATACACACATTTTTGTCTTTTTAGCTGATTCATGGAGACAGTTGTCTCCTTAGTTATATGCTGCTTAGATAATAATTTCTAACTCATTGGTTAGGCTAGCCATTTTCTTTAGGTTTCGAATGTCTTTTCAGTACTGATGACTTAATGAATGAGTTGTGTAGGTGCTTGGTGCAGTTCACATATTTAAGGGTGGTTATTTCTGAGGATGACATTTGGGTAGAATACTGTTGACTGGCTTATTAATTTGGAGTATTGAGCAATGTTTAACCATATTCTTTAAGAGGGCATGATTCTAAGTGGTCATTTCCTTTAGGATTTGAGATTAAACAAAAGCTCTTAGCATAAGTTTGATTTGAATATAAATTCTATACCAAAAGAACAAATATGAAGAGGAATGTTTTGTATCTGGCTGTTGCCATTTCCTAAAAATAACTTATTTCTCCCATGTTTCTATTCCTGACATAGTGTTGGTTTACAAAGCTACCTCCAGTGTTGACCTTTGAACTCTCAAGATTTGAGTTCAATCAGTCCCTTGGTCAGCCAGAGAAAATTCACAATAAGCTGGAATTTCCTCAGATCATTTATATGGACAGGTAAGTTCTGTGATTGATTGTCTTCTTGACTCATATCAGTGGAAGTGAGTCCATACTAAGTATATTGTGCACAGGAATTACCTGGAGGGCTTGATAGTATACACATTTGGATTCAGTGGATCTAGGTTGGGGCCAAAGAGTTTGCATTTCTAAGAAGCTAATGATGCTTCTGATCTCTGAACTATAATTTGAGAAGTTAGGCTTTAGGTGAAAGCCCTGCTAATTTGGGGGTGAAGATAGTATGTGGAGTAACCATAGTGTATTTCTTTCTAGTCTGTTTTAGTGATGTATAGCTTACATCCAAAAAAAGTTACCATTCTTAAGTGTATAGCCAGTGAGTTTTGACATGTGTATATAGCCCATTAACTATCATCACAGTCAAGATATAAAATATTTCCATCACCCAAGGGTTCCCTTGTGCCCCTGTGTGGTCCATCCCTTTCCCCCACTCCCAGGCCTTGGTTACTTACTTGTTTTCTGGCCCTATAGTTATGCATTTCTAGAATGTCATAATTAGGGACATTAATATTCAATATGTACCCTGTTGTGGTTGTCTTCTTTGTTTTGATTATGTTTTTGGGATGCATCCATGTTGTTGCATGTATCAGTGATTTGTTCATTAATATATTGAGTAGTATTCCATTGTATGGATGTACCACAATATTTTTTTCCACTTGCCAGTTGATGGACATTTCAGGTTGTTACGAATAAAGTTGCTATGAATATTCACATACAATTCTTGGTGTGGTTTTTAGTGCTTCTGTGTATAATACCCAGGAGTGAGATTGCTGGGTTGTATGAAAAGTGTATGTTTAACTTTATAAGAAATTTCCAAACTGTTTTCTGAAGTGGCTGTACAATTTTGTATTCCTACCAGCATTGTATGAGAGCTCCATTTGCTCCAAATCCTCGCCAATATGTGGAATTATCAGTCTTTCTAGTTTTAACCATTATAGTGGGTTTGTAGGAATACCTTTTTTTTCTTTTGATTTATATTTCTCTGATAACTAACAATGTTGAGCATCTTTTCATGTACTTAATTAATGGTCATTTATATATTTTCTTTGGTGAAGTGTCTGTTCAAACCTTTTGTCTACTTTTTAACTGGGTTGGTTGTATTCATACTGAGTTTTAAGAGTCCTTTATATATTTTAGATACAAGCCCAAATATTTCCTGCCTGTGCTGTCTCTTCTATTTTTTTTCAGTGTTTTCATTTATTTATTTATTCACCCCACCTCACCCTCCACCCCCCCACCTCAAAGCCATTGTTCTCAGTCTAGTTGTAGAGGATGCAGCTCACTGGCCCATGTTGGTATTATGATCATTGTGCTGTACCCAGCTGAGGCAGATCGGCTGCCCACCATTGGATGTTCGCTCACGGTGGCTCATGGCAGCTCTCGCCGGCTGCCAGCCACTCACGCTGGCAGCCAGCCACTCATGGCAGCCCAGCTCCAGGTCAAGCCATTGTTCATAATCTTAGCTGTAGAGGGCACAGCTTACTGGCGCAGCTCACTGGCCCATGTGGGAATCAAACCAGGCAACCCTGTTGTTCAGAGCTCGCACTCTAACCAACTGAGCTATCTGGCCGCCCCTCTTTCAGTGTTTTTAGGAGAGCAGGAGTTTTAGTTTTCAGGAAGTGTAATGTATCAGTTTTTCTTTCATAGTTTGTGATTTTTGTGTTCTAATTTAGAAATTTTTGCCAACCCAAGGCCACAAAGATTTTCTTCTATTTTTTTCTTCCCCCCAAAATTGTAATTTTAACTCCTACATTCATAATTCATGCCTATGACCCATTTAGAGTTTATATATAATATAAATATATAATATAATACATATAATATAATATAATATATATTATATAATATAATATATATTAAATATATATATATATAATATAATACGAGAAAAAGGGATTTGTTTTTTTATAGGAGGGGGAAAGAAGCCATGTGGATGTCCAATTCTAGAACCATTTGTTGAAAAGACTCTCCTTCCCCCATTGAATTATCTTGGTACTTTTGTCAAAAATTAATTAAACTTATATTTGTGGGTCTATTTCTGGAGTCTGTGTTCTGTCTATTGTTTAATCTTATGCCAGTGCCACATTGTTGGATTACTGTGGTTTTATTGTAAATCTTGACATCAGATAGTATAACTCCTCCAACTTTTGTTTTTTCAAAATTGTTTTGGCTGTTCTTGTCCTTTGTATTTTCATATAAATGTTAGAATCAGCTTGTTAGTTTCTATCTAATAGCCATTGGGATTTTGACTGGGATTGTATTGGATCTATAGATTAATTGGGGGAAATTGACATCCTAATAATTTTTACTCCTTTAATCCATTTATTTAAGTCTTTGAATTTCTCTCAACAATTTTGTAATTTTTAGTGTATAGGGCTTGCACATATCTGTTTATCCCTAAATTCATGTTTAATGTTATTGTAATTTTTTAAATTCTACTTTCCATTTGTTCTTTATGAGTGTACAGACATGCAAAAGATTTTTTCCTCTTTTTTAACTGGCTTTGTATCTTTTGACCTTACTAAATTCACTTAGTTCTGATGTATTTTTGTGGATGCCTTGAGATTTTCTATGTAGATGATTGACTATCATTCCATCTGCAACTAACGGCAGTTCTACTTCCTTTACTATCTGTATGCCTTGTGTTTCTTTTCTTTTTTTATGTCATTGTACTGGCTGTGCCTCCCTGGAGAAAGCTTTTAGTCTTCACCATTAAGTATGATGTTAGCCCTTTGTCTGATTGAGAAAGTTTCCTTGTATCCCTAGTTTGCTGAGACTTTGTGTCATTAATGTTTTTAAATATAAATTGTGTTTGTGGGCTTATTTGCTTAGGTACATGTACAGGAGCAAAGAGCTTATTCGAAGTAAGAGAGAGTGTATTCGAAAGTTGAAGGCAGAAGTAAAAGTCCTGCAGCAAAAACTGGAAAGGTGAGTTGTGCTTAGAAATATAAAAGAGTAGAACATTAAAATCAGATAATTTGCTTATATTTAAAATTCAGGGTTAAGTATGAAGTAGTGTGTTTTATAAAATAGCTAAGAATTTTTTCTAAGTGTGAAGGAGCCTTCGAGATGAGCTAATTAATGGTATCCATGGGCAAAGAGTAGTCCCAGGGACTTAGATGACCCTGAGTAACACAGTTAATTATTGGCAGTGTATTGCAGAGAACCCAAATACTGATATTATAGCCCTTTTTCTACTCCCCGTGCCCTCTTTTTCACAAACATGAGAAAGGTAACTGTCACAGTACTCCAAACCCTTTGTCTTGAGAAAACAGTTTCTAGATTGTCTGGGAAAGGTGTAAAGTAAAGTAAAAAGTGTAAAGTGTAAATTAAAAATTAAAAATGTAAAAAGTAAGAAGTAAAAGAATAAAACCACAATGCGGCTCCATCTAGAGCACTGATAACTGATTAAAAGGGCTAATATTTCTGACACATACAAAGTCTTTTGTCTTATGGAGAATCATTCCCTTTTGTTCATTTGTTTTGCACTATTTCTGTGGAATCACCCTATGACTCCCTAAGGAGGAGTCAGTGTCATTTCATTCTAGTCAAGATAGAGCCCATTGGTTTAGCATTTAAGAAGGAATCCTATACAATATCAGTGGATTTTTCCCCCCTTTATCTGCTTAACAGTTTTGCTGCTGCCACCACCCCTCATCTACCCACCTCGTTACTAGGTCATTAATTTCCCTGAGAGGCGACACTTTCCATGCAGCCCATGACAGGCCTTGCACCTGTAGTCCCCCTCCCCCAGCTTCCTCTCTCACAGTAGAAAGAACTTGTGCAAGATGTAGTGGGACGGGCCACCTATTTGCCTTAATACAGGCTTAAACTGGGGGTTGAGTCCTCGTGTTCTGTCCTGGGAGGGATTTATAGACTCCACCTGTAGCAGTGTTTTACGTTTAAGGTTTTAGTGGTACTTCGTAAGATTGGAAAGTTTTAATTGTTTTTATAGAATCAAATATACCTGATGTATTATAGCTCAGAAATTCTCCATTTACCAGTAACCAATGAGGCATTCTGGGTTATTTAGATTTAAAGATAGTGTATTGGAGCATTTTCTATAGTATGATATTACTCTTTTTTCAATAAAATGACTTTTTAAATTTCAGATAATTCTCCTTGGGTAATTTTTTTTTAAATTGCTTGTCTGTGTGTGACATACTCCTGGGAAAATATACAAGAAATTGTTAATGGATACCATTAGGTAGTAGAACTGAGATGGGGGTTGGCTGACTTTTATGTTTCTTTTGCACATTTTGTATTTGATTTTTCCTACCAGGTACTTGCATTACTTTTATCATTTAAAAAAGAATTAAAAATGTTCACCATTTCTTCTCTCAGATACCTTGATATAATATTAAAAACAAGATTTCTTATGTACAGTATAGACATCTTTTTTAAAACTACTTTTGCTCTGATTCTACTAAATTAATATAAGTAATGCATTGTATGAAGTAGTTGGTCTAAAATTCAGTAGAGGAAGTGGAAAACGATTGTCATAAAATTGAAGATAGGTTTCTTTTTTTTTTTTTTAAAGTTTTTTTTGGGGAATTGGGGGAGGGGAACAGACAAGTTGCTGTCCTTTTGTTCTTCAATCTAGTTGTGGAGGACGTCACTTCACTGGCTCATGTTGGTATTATCATTGCGCTCTTCCCGGGTGAGGCAGATCGGTTCCCGGCCTCTGGACGGCCACTCACAGCGGCTCTTGGCAGCTCACACCGACTGCTGGCCACACACGGTAGATTATGGCAGCCCATTGCAGCAGGGGCTGCAGCCTACACCGTCGACGGCGACTCATGGCAGCCCAGCTCCAAGTTGAGCTCCTGCTCACCATCTTAGCTGTAGAGGGCAGTGTCACTGGCCCTCATGTGGGATCCGAACTGGGGCCCTGCTGCTCAGAGCTGGCATCCCAAGCCAGCTCTTAACCAATGCGCCACTCGGCCGGCCCGAAGATAACTTTCTTAGAGAAGTTTTTTCGTGAAATTTTGAATGAGTATCATATTAAAATACAGCAAACTTGGAAAGAGTTACAGATGTAAAATGTTGGCTTAAAATCCTATGACGGATTATCAGTGCCACATTGCTAGTAAGAAAATGTTTTCTTTGGTCCAGGCCAGTCGTGTATTGATTAATTCTTTCAACAAACATTGAGGGCTTAAGAAGAAGATATTAACCATGTATATGGGATAGACAAAAGGTTTAGTTTGTGTACTGTAGGAGTTCAATGAGGGGAGATGTTCTTTCCAGTGTTGGGGGGAATGGCATATTGAGAAAGATTTCATGGAGGAAGTAAATCTTGAAAGATTAAAATAGAGTGTAAATAAGATAATAGTATTTGGAATTAAGGCAAGGAAATACAATCTAAAGAATAGAACCGTTCTTTAGGGTTCCACTAACGTTGCATATTCAATATCCTTTTCAATGAAAGCTGTAACTCTCTGTGACAGCCAAATCCACAGGAGAAATCATTCTCTTTCTCCTTTAAATTAGTGAAGATGAGTGTCTTTGTTACATACCCTCTAACATGTAGTTGACTTTGAGTTGCGCCCTATTTATTTTCCACTAGTATTTTCATTTCAAAATGTCCTTTTTAATATAGAAACGGACAATTATTATTCTTCCTACTTCTATACCTGTTTCTTTCTTTCACTTTATTCAGAGAAGAAAAATGTGAAGTGACTATCCTTCGTAAATGGAATCCCAGAATTATAATTTACCTGTACCAACCAGTCAACTTAATTACTGTACTATTTAAACTGTTTACTATAGTGAACTATAGAATTCATTAAAGTGAATCTTTTTACTGAGTCTAACGTGCTAGTAATGGCAGAATATTGAGTATTATTAAAATAATTTGTTAGTTACTTTTGGTTACATATTTAAGATATTTATTATTTACTAATCCCAAAGAAATCTTTAATAATTTATGCTCGCCTATGCTATTGAATGAGTGTATGAATAATAGGGTACTTAGGACTCTGCAAAAGAAAAATTTGCCAGTTTCCTTAAACTCAGACTTTTATCAACATCTACTTCCCATTTTCAGCTTTCTTTCATTTTTCCTAATTGCAAAGTTGTTGATCTAAAAGGTGGCAAGGGAAAAACATTTGTGTACTAGTTCACCAGCATTATTTTCAGATTTGAGTACTGGTAATAGTTCTGTTTTTCTTTAAGAAGAAGAAATTACTTTATGATCAGAGCCTAAATGTGATGTGATAGCAAGAGGAGGCATAACTGACATGACCTTGATTAGGAGCACATTTAAAATGTTTTCTGCCAGGTATTAAAATTTAGATTGTTAGAAATTTTTACTTTTGTAGTTAGAGAATTTGGCCCTATAGATTGTTTGAGTAACGTATTAGATATTATATAACATTTAGGAATAAGCCTTTCCATTGACGCTTCACACAATAACAGATCTTCTGTCAGCAAGCCCCCAAATCCAAGACCGGCGTGGACAGTTCGGTCCCGTTGTCTTTCCTCGTAGGTATGTGAAGTATGGCTCGGGCCCAGCTCGCTTCCCGCTCCCGGACATGCTGAAGTATGTGCTTGAATTTGCTAGTACGAAACCTGCCTCAGAAAGCTCTCCGTCTCCGAGTGACACGAGGGTGACATTACCACTTTCTTCAGTGCGCTGCCCGGTTTCTGACCTGACGTCCAAGGAAAGGTAATAAAAACAAAACAAAATATTCGAATGTGGATGTATTTTTTTGGTTTAATTTGAAATATGGGCCATCTTTCTACCTGTTTAACACTCACCCCATATGAGCTCAAGGGCTGTGAACTCTGTCTTAAAGGGAAGGGTTTTGCTAGCTGTCACTTGGGAGAGTGCTCCCAGTTCCCACATGTGCACTCGTCTTGCGCACAGGGTGGTTGGGATTATTTCAGGGGCTTCTTGCACTGTCTGGAATAGTGTTGATGCTCTACCAGGGCTGCCCTGTTTTGAGCTAGCTATAAGATAGCTGCCACTAAAGGCCTTCCTCAGAGGAAACCTCAGCCCTGCTCTCCCAAACATCTTCTTCTCCTGTCTTCTGAAAAGTATGCATATGACTAAATAAACATCAAGGGAAGAGAGACTTATTCATAAATAGAAATTTTAAGCATGAGAAGAACTGGCTAGAAATGGAAGCCTAGCCTCGAGGGGCTTATCCAGTGAAGAAACAGGGAGCCCTCTAGTTCTGTTCCAGCTCAGCCCCCTGCACCAGCCATGTGGCCTGGAGGAACCGCCAGAGCTAGCTCGGATCAAATTTGATGGGTGTGTCCTGACTGATAAAAACACTAGAATCCGTAAAAAAGGGTTAGCATTTTATTTTTAAAAAACCCAACTATTTACCCAAGTCTCTCCCACACATACATATTAATATTGATTCATCCATGTGTATGCATAGAAGTGCATATCTGGATAGAACATACCAAATGTTAAGGATGATTATCTCTAGAGGGTGGCATAAGCAAGTCAAGGGATGGGGGATTCTTTTACTTTTTATACTCTTCCTCTGTTTGGATGTTTTATAGAATGTTTTCATGTTCTTTGTGAAATATAAGTGGTTTTAGTTTTTAAAAAGTAGTTGGGCAGTCTATTTAATCACATAAGCTAATACTGCATACTGCCTGATGTTACTGGATTTTAAAGTTACTGTGTGTGTGTGTGTGTGTGTGTGTGTGTGTGTGTGTGTGTGTGTGTGTTCTCTTCTGAGATTGAGATACCTGCTCTCTTGCTTATGTTGGGCTTATTTTTCCATATGAATGGGTCCTTTGGGAAGAGGTTTTCTCCATTATTTTGTATGTATGACAGAGCAGGTGGGAGTCGTAGGGAGTTAGGGTTTCTTCTAAGTCAAAGCCAAAGGAAGTTTATGTTCTTCAGTTTTGGTGTGAAACAGAAACCTAAGTATAATTAGAAGCTTATATTCCTGCCAGTTTGTCAATGTGCAGTTTGTTTGACAATAGTTAATTAGTAGATAAATTAACATTTACTTTACGTGCTTTATTCTCAGTTAGGTTAGGGCAGTAGCGTAAAGAAGTTAACATTTATATTTTAGAGCTGAGTATTAGATTACGTACCTGAGGCTGCTAACTTTCTCTGGGTGTTGAGCTATAAGGAGTGATCGAGCTGGGATTGTCCTGCCCCCTGTCCCTTTTCCAGGATGCCACCTAGTTTGTATTCCTGTGAGTTGGATGTTCAGATGATACTTCATTTTTCTTGCTCTGTATATTTTCTTCCTGGATTCATCTATCCATCCTGCTTTAGTCAGTTACATCCTGAAAACTATAGTTGATTCCTCGATTCTTCCAGTCCCAGTCTTCTGTTCTTTATGTTCCCTCTCCTCCCTTCTTAATGAGAAGGCATTATAACAAGTCATCAGAGATCATGAGCCATAGACTCAGGTAGCTCAGGGTTTAATCCCTCTCCATCATTTACTAGCTGGATGAAGTTTGGCAAGTTGCTTAGTTTTTCTAAGCCTTAGGTTTGTAATTGGATAATAGGGATAGTAATAGTAGCTGCCTCATAAGCAAGTTTTGTTAAAGGAAAGATTTGGCTCAGTACCTGTACAGAGTAAATACTCACCAACTTATAGTTGTACTTTTTCATATAGCAGCTTGCTTTACAAAGCACATTAATTTAGGCCAAGGCATATTTTGGAAATTACCATATGAACATGATTTTTGTCTTCCTTCAGTACAAGTAAAGAAAGCTCTTCTCAGGATGTTGAAAGTATCTTTTCTTCTGAAGATTCTCTACACAAGTCTAAGACAATGAATAAACCACTTACATCTTCCCGGACTTCCATGGAAATGCCTGCACACCCAGCTCCTCGAACAGTCACAGATGAGGAGATAAACTTTGTTAAGAGCTGTCTTCAGAGGTGGAGGAGTGAGATTGAACAAGATATACAAGGTTGGCACTTTTAGAATTTGTCAAACAGTTACTCTTTGCCTTTTCTGTTTATTTGAATACTTGGAAGTTAGGCACCTTGGGTATACTTCTTGTCTTTGCCATATAGACTGTTGAATTTTGGCATGGGGATTGTGGTTTCTTTCATACTTTTAGTTCTCTGTAAGATTGGACCACACACACTCCCATTACACAACTATGGAAAGATCCCTCCTAGATTCCCTCCTCAACATTTCCGGGAATTTCTGGATAGCTTAGGCACTCGTGACCATCTTTGGGTAGGATTTTTCTGTATCTGCTGATGTTTTTTTTCCTGCAGTTTATCTGAACTCTGGCTGCAGTTAACCTAAACTTAGAATTTACTTTTCCTGGATTTCCACTTTTAAAATTCTTTTCTATATGAAGTATGCTTTACTGAAGGTTAATGAGGCAGAGAATATTTGAGCAATGCACACAATGTAAAATTGAATTATTCAGCATTGTGTTCTTAAAGGTCCTTTGGCCTTGTGGTCTTCTTGCTCAGAGTTTTCCTCCTCCCATTTCTTCTTTTATCTGGGGAGCAGAAAAATAAAATAAAAATCCAGATTCCTCCTAAGTTCTCATTCACAGAAATTTAGCCCTGCCTTACTCTGCCACCTTCCTTCAGGTGCTGTCTCTGGTACGTTTATTTTACACCCAAGCGATCCATTAAAATTCTTTTCTAAATAGGCTGTTTCTTCTTTAACAAATTTTGGTGCCAATTATAAGAGATGATTTTTTAAAATCTTAATGTAATTATATTAAATTATATAAAAGCCTTCTTAATGCTGCTTTAAAACTGTGTACTCCTTCGTGGTTCATAGAATGAAGCTGAAATCATTAGAGCCCCAGGTACAGATAAGCAATACGCTGCTTAATTGAAACAGCCTATGTGATATGGAAATCATTTTAACTAAGTATTCTTTTTTAACAGATTTAAAGAACTGTATTGCAAGCACTACCCAGACTATTGAGCAGATGTACTGTGATCCTCTCCTTCATCAGGTAGAATGAAATTGAGGGGAAAGTAGTCAAGGCATGTTCTAATGATGCTAACTGTAGATACAAAAATAAAATTGGATAGTTTTCTTTGAAACTGAATGGGAAGCTCCCTGAGATATAAGAATAAACTTAGGAAAGAAATAGGTCATGTTCTGTTTCTTTATTTTAGACTTAAAAAAAAGCAGTATATCTTTTGCCACCAATAGAACCCAAAATACATTTGTTTTGATTCTGCCATGTGTTATTTTTTTTGATATATTAGAAAGATTTGCTGTCCAATATTAATTAAAATTTCTCATTCAGTAGTATTTAAGTAGTACAATGAGGAAAACCTGAACTAGAGGGCCAGTTACCTATCCTTTGTAAAGCCTTTGTTTAGCAGCATGCATTCAAGCTTTATTTCTCTAATGACTCCACAAGGGTGGTAGGCAGGGCAGAAATTCTTATTATCCACATAAATTTTTGTTTAGAATAACATTCTGGGCATGGAGGGAAAAAGAGATTCCAGTTAGGGGCATGATCTCTTAGTGGCTTCTGTGTAAATAGCTGGAGGAAAGGAGCTCTGTTTCCAGGGTTGCATGGAGGCACAGTTCTGTTGCATAGCAGGAATGCATAGTGTAAGCTTTGGGTTTCCCCATTTTTTTCTTTTGTATTATTTCAGAAATTTCATCAGTAAAAACATGTCAAGATACTAATTTTAAATGTAAGTTTAATTTAATTCTATGGCTGACTTTCCTTTTTTCCACCAGTAGTTACTTGGCAGTTGTATTTTCTCAATATTGAAAAAAGAAATGCTTTTCAAATGTTGAAACAAACAAATATGTGGTTAAAAGGCTCTTCTCCCAGATAGGTGGATGATTACTCACAAGAAGAAATATAGGGACCATGTGACTGATTCATAATGAAATATGCTAACTTAAATTTTGGTACCAAATAAAATAGGTATAAGACAAGATAGCCACTAAACTTGTTGTAGATCCCAAATGTGGTAAATGTTTTCTCAACATGAGTAGTCAAGGTGATTCAGTTTTTAGATAAACTGAGTTTAGAATTGGGAGGACAAATAGGTCTAGGTTATCTTTGGTTTTAGATCTACTATTATATAATAGTAAGAGTGTAGAGTTGAACGAGGCCACAAAGAGGTCATCTAGTTCAACTGTCTGGTTTTAAAGATTCGGGAACTGAGACATAATTGGTAGATTCCAGGGCCATGATTTTGTTAGTTCCTCTTAAAACTCCGTAAGGTGTTTTTTAATGTGAACCCTGTATCAACCACACATATAAATAGTTTTCTTATGTCTGGTAGTTGGGAATAATTTTGAATATTAATAACCTGAACTTTGTAGGTTACTTTGCTGAATCTGAGGACTATGCCATCTGATTTGCAGGTGCCTTATCGTTTGCATGCAGTTCTTGTTCATGAAGGTCAAGCAAATGCTGGACACTACTGGGCCTACATCTATAACCAACCCCGACAAGTCTGGCTCAAGTACAATGACATCTCTGTTACTGAATCTTCCTGGGAAGAACTTGAGAGAGATTCCTATGGAGGCCTGAGAAATGTTAGTGCTTACTGCCTGATGTACATTAACGACAAGCTACCTCACTTCAATGCAGGTAAACATAGCTTAGCAGATGCCAGAGATGGCTGGAAATCTGTTCTGCTCAGGGAAGGGGGAAAAGTCTTGCAGTTTCTAAAAGAATTTTAAACTAGAATTTATTATAAAGTAATCATGCATTTTAAGAAACACAAAAGAGAATAAAAAGGGAAAATGAATTTGCTTTCCTGCTCCCATCCTTGAGCCCAACAAGCATCCATTATTAGGTTTCTTCTGTTGTCTTCAAGAAGTGCTCTATGCAGATGCTAGATTTTACATATTGACATCTCACTCTCATCCCATTTTTTTTTCCCAAATGGGATATTTGTCCATTCTCTTCTGCATCTTTTTCATTAATCTGTATCTTAGTCATCTCTATATTTTCATAAATAAAACCAACTCATTCTTTTTAACAACTGCATAATAATCCCATTACATGGACTATGTATGTAATTTATTAAGCCAGCCTCCCATTGATAGACTTTTAAGTTGTCTCTAGTTTTCTTCTTTTATAGTGACATTTTTGTATACATATTTTTGTACCCTTTAGAGAATAGCTAAATTTTACAAGTGGTTTTACCTGAATAATTTCATACTTCTCATAATACTACTACTAATGCGAAGCGCAGTCATATTTACCATTTATATTGGTACTTTACTCCTTACCACATGCTTTCAAACTTTATTTCTCTAGTGACATACTGTATTTTCCCATGTATAAGACTCACCCTTTTTTGAAAAATTTGGCGTCTAAAAACCAGATGTGTCTTATACAGTGGTTGTAGATTTCAAATGCCATAGATGGAACTGAGGACGAGGCAATATATGAAGACAGTGATTCGTCATCAGACACAGATGAGGATAAGCTAATGGTTGGGAGTTTTGATAGTGATGAGGAGTTGTATGAATTTTATGATGAATGAAACAAGTTCAATAACTTTATGTAATACAGTTTTGTTCAAATTTTGGGCCCCAAAATTAAGGTGCGTCTTATACATGGGAGCATCTTATACATGGGGAAATACAGTAACTCTAAAAGGGAGGTAGGCAGGGTAGGAATTCTTACTATCCACATTTTCCAGCTGAGGTTCTCTAGTTGTTCAGAGTCATACAGCCAGTAAATAAATGGCAGTCCTGCGATTCAAATCTAGTTCTGACTCCAAATTCTGTGCTGTTTTCCGTTTACATTCTCTTTCTCTTCCTTTCACATCTTCTCTGAGAGCTCTTATGGCCACCATTTCACCTCTAAGATCATAGAAGATGTTTTCTTTTAGTATTCAAGCCTTATTGTCTTGCATAGGTAAGAAAACACATAAGGCGTTTTGTCCAGACAGCACATTGTCTTTCCGATTTGCTAGTGAGGTTGGGGGATGGGGAGTGGAGAGAAGGATCACTTAACTGTGATTGATTTTCATAATTGCATATTTGCAGTATGAAAGCAGGAACAGCTGCTTGTGGGAGTTGCACAAAGACTCTACTGGCTGGTGGTAATATATAGGAGCCTTGATATTATAAGTATGGCTCATTTTTATATTATAGAAGCAAACAAGTAGAAACTGTCATTTGCTTAGTGAAAAGACTAGTTAATGGCAACCAGTAAGTGGATGTGTTGTTCTGCTGTAGGTTTTTGTTTTGTTTTGGTTAAAACAAAAAAGGGTTAGAAATGAAATTTAATATGTCCTTGATATCCTGCCATTTTTCATCATAGCTTTTAATAAACCAGGTATTATTGCCCATCTAACTGTTATATCAAATTGCTTTCCAATAGCACTTAATTATGTGAAACTTGAGGCAGTATACGTGTCTTGGAATTCATCTCCAACTATCTTGAGATGGATATTCTTATCAGTGTAACAGGTGCCGTGGTTACATTAACAAAACTATTTAGCTTGAAATTTCCATTAGATCTAATGATTTCCTGAATTTCCAAGAAATGTTTGGTGCATTCTTGCTACTTTGCCAATGATTGACCTCTATTCCAAGTTCTTACTATCATTCATTCATTCCTTTAACAGATAGATATTCAATGCCTGCCTACCTACTAATATGCCAGGCACTGTTATTGGTGTGCTGTGACTGTTGGCCTTATAGTATTAGTACATGTGATGGATTTTATATATATACATGTGTGTGTGTGTGTGTGTGTGTATAAATATGAATGTATATATGTATGTATGTACGTATTGTTTATTAAGACTAAGAAAAAAGACAAAGTGTTTTATTTTCTTTCTTTGTAGAAAGGACCTTTTGGTTTCTTATGCCCTTTTGCTGGATAGTACTCCGTTTTAACTCCATCTTTGTTCTTTCTCAGAGGCAGCCCCAAATGAATCAGATCAGATGTTAGGAGAATTAGAAGCCCTGTCTGTTGAACTCAAGCATTACATTCAGGAAGATAACTGGAGGTTTGAACAGGAAGTAGAAGAGTGGGAAGAAGAGCAGTCTTGCAAAATCCCTCAAATGGAATCCTCCACCAACTCATCATCGCAGGATTTCTCCACATCACAAGGTATCCGAGAAGGGCATTTATGCCAGTGATCTGGTAGCATTCATGCTGCACTCCGTCAGCCAGCCCTGTGAACCTCAACTGATTGAGCGATGCTGCAGTTGGCAACTACAGTTTGTTCAAATATAGTTGGTATTGCACAGCCCGAGGACTAACTTGTGGCTTCATCATGTGTTTCTGATGAGTGGAATAGCAGCAAGACTAGCCACCTGTACTTTTCCTCTGCTTAGTTTTTGCTTATTTCCTGAGTTGCAGGAGGAACTGTGATAGGATTAGTAGGTAGACTGTACAGAAAAAAGGTGATCTTCCGCCAGGTGAGATGTATGGTAACAGAAGAGATCTAGACTTCGGATGGGGAGCACATCATAGAGCACACAGATGTCAAATTATAATCTTGTATGCCTGAAAACTTTATGGTGTTATTAACCAATGTTACCCCAATAAATTTAATTTGAAAATAACTTATAATAGCCTTAATTATAATGCTGTATATACAAATGTAAACGTATCAAAGCTCAAGAACTTTTAAAATATATATATTTAAAAGTTTCTTTAAAAAAGGTGATCTTCCTAACAGATGGTTGTTTATAGGAAGCTTTCTTGGCATAAAGGAATATGACCAAGTTGGGAGCACATTAAATTTTACAGGATCATCAATGGGTTGTTGCTGAAGTAGCCATTTCTTTAAGTCACAGTTTTTTGGGGAAACTTGCATAGATTTTTTTAAAAGGTTTGTTAGAAAGGTTGTATATTAAACTTTGAATCCATCCTGCTTGCCTTTTACAGAGTGTTCTAGACGGTACTTACCGTCAGATGTTAATTCCTTTGTATAATTCTTTATCAGAGTCTTCAGTAGCCTCTTCTCATGGGGTTCGCTGCTTGTCATCTGAGCATGCTGTGATTGTCAAGGAGCAAACTGCCCAGGCTATTGCAAACACAGCACATGCCTATGAGAAGAGTGGTGTAGAAGCAGCCTTAAGTGAGGTGAGAATGACTTAAGAAGTCCAGATTCAAAAGGGGCAGGTTTTCGGCAGTAATTGCCACAGTTTTCTCACATTTCTATTTTTCTGTGTCTCTGTTGCATTTAACCAATTCTTTATTTCTCCTGTTTTTTTCTTACTTGTTCTCTCCATTCTGCTGCCACAACTTAAGGAAGCTGAACCCACGAAGCCCATGCCCCTGGAAACAAACATTGCAGAGCAGTCAGAGCAACCCCAAAAGGCTAATGATGCAGAGCCTGCTGCCCAGCCTAATTCTGAGGTCTCTGAAGTCGAGATTCCCAGTGTGGGAAGGATTCTGGTTAGATCTGATGCAGATGGATATGATGAGGAGGTACAGAGATGAGTGCAGGGTTTAGCTGTTTGTTGTCAGTCTTATATTTCCTTCTCATGTTACTGATTATACTTTAAGGTGTTTGGCGATAGTTAATCTTTTCTCACTGAAACAAATAATGGACAAGAGGGCCTATCTGGTTTTGACCTTAGTTAATATTTTTAAAAAGATAGGCTTGTTCCCGCTGTACACTGCTCCCAGTATATAGCTACCCAGGTATATACTTATGGGGGCCACTGCAGAGTCTAGATGGCTCAGAAAGGTAGAATTTAGTTCCTTTTTTGGTATTATGAATGAAAAATTGCTTTTTAAGTTAGGAGTCTTTGTCTTTGATAGTATTAATCAATTGTTTTTCCTCCAAGTGTAAAATTTTCAGTTGTTTACTGAGCAAAACAATTGTAAATTGAAGTTTTTAATTCTAAAGCTTTAGGAAGAAGCTGTAGAATCACAAGTTATTTATTGTGTATCTTCTTTACAATTGTCACTGCACATAAACAATATGAATCCACTCTCTCAGATTTCTTTCTTTCTTTTTTTTGCTGTGGGATATATATTTTTATTTATTTTATTTTATTTATTTATTTTTTTAGCTGAGCCACCCTGCCACCTGTTGGCAGCTCAGCTCGGGCCGGGCATCGAACCACTGTGGCTCAGAGCTTGCACTGTTGAACTGAGCCACTCGGCCGGCCCCTGGAATGTTATTTTTTTAAATCTTTGAAAGGTTTTCATTTTATAGTGTCAGATTTGTACATCCCGTAGCTTCCAGACTATTTCAGATGTACTGTTCATCTTAGTAAAAGTCTAAACTATTTGTATGTTTAGGATACACACCCAAACTACAGAACTAAATTGGAATTCTCACCTCAGACACTTCCCCTCTGAGAGCTCCAGTTTCACTTGATTCTTTAGCACAGCCATAGTAGATATTTTTAGACCTACATCTTTATTCTTCTGCTAAATTGCGGAGAATATATATGAATAGCTTGTCCTGGCCAGGGTCTTGACATTGTCTAGACGGGCAGGGGCTTATGTGTGTATAGGAAGAGGTGTGTGAAACTTGACTTTCAGTAGATGCTGGTCAAGGCGTATATCGCCACGCTTCCCTTCAGCAATCTGCTTACCTGTCTTCATGCAATCTTCTTCTGAACCTTTCTTCTCCTTTTTCTCTCTGTGTTTTGTGCCCTCGTGTGGTAGGTGATGCTGAGCCCTGCCATGCAAGGGGTCATCCTGGCCATAGCTAAAGCCCGTCAGACCTTTGACCGAGATGGGTCTGAAGCAGGGCTTATTAAGGTATCTCTGTTTTTTAATTTCTCTTTTTGGACCACAGGTATCATAATACTAGGGTAATAATTCTATTAGATGGTAAAAAAAAAAGGGGGGGGGCTAAAAATATCTTTCACTGAAGGAAAACATAAAACTCCCTTTTTTGTCCAACCACAGAATAAGCCGTCCCATCTTACTGATTGCCCCTCCTCGCTTGACACTAATGCATCCTTGGTGAGCTGTGCTGTTCTGTGCCACACCCAGCCTGGAGGGCTTGTTGTTGTTTTCAAGAAATGTCTATTAATAAGCTGTGACTGAGACATTCATTGCCTTTGTAATTTGGGGGCCATAATATGAGAAAGTAGGCCATGCTTTTTTAAGACACTTGAATAAAATTTAAGGTACTTGAATAAATTGCATTTATGTGGATCTGTAAAATTCATGTTCTTGGGACTCAAGGATATGCCTGAAATAATTAAAACTAAATATTTGTTTTTCTGAGAATTTTATGAAAAAAAATGTTTCTTACGAGCATAGTATGTCTTTGGTCCCAGAATGCTAGAGGAGTTTCATCCCTTATGAAATGCAAACAACAGATGCTATAGTTGCCTCTGTAATTCCTTAATAAGGAGAATTTCTTACAAGTCTTTTTAGAGTTATGAAACTTCTATAGCGTTAGACATCAATTTTTGTGTGCAGAAGCCCACAACATACCCTTTTCTATAATTCTGTCTTCACTAGGCATTCCATGAAGAATACTCCAGGCTCTATCTGCTTGCCAAAGAGACTCCCACCCCTCACAGTGATCCTCGACTGCAGCATGTGCTTGTCTACTTTTTCCAAAATGAAGCACCCAAAAGGGTAGTAGAGCGGACCCTTCTGGAACAGTTTGCTGATAAAAATCTTAGCTATGATGAAAGGTGAGACGGGAATACTCAGGTGAACATACCTTCCTTCTGGCTTGACTAGCTTCCCTTGTGGGGAAGCCTTTCATTGCTTTCTGAACTTTGTCCCACACAGATCAATCAGCATTATGAAGGTGGCTCAAGCTAAACTGAAGGAGATTGGTCCAGATGACATGAATATGGAAGAGTACAAGGTGAAGCCTTTTCTTTCAATCTACAAAGCCACAAGCATTAATTCCTGAAGCAAAACTGATAATTTTGTGTTTTCACAGACTGATTTGTTCTCTACCCCAGCCCACAACAACCCCAGAAAAACCTGGATAAATGATCTTTTCTTACCGTCAGAATAGCAGGTTTCCTTATTCCATTCTTCCATTAGAATGAATCAATACTTCCAATAGAATTCTTGAACTCAGGGTTTTGGTTTGTTTTAAATAATATAGTTTTCTAATATTTCTGTAATAGAAATTAATTTTTTATGCATTAAAATGCATCTAACTACAGATTTTCTAAAAGAAGCATTGTGCTGTACATAAAACAGTGTTATATACTACCTAAGTTGTGCCCGCCACACTTACTGAGCTTGAGTGTTGTCCAGTGTCATTAAGATGACCTTGTCCTTTCACCTTCTCCACATCTGGATGGTTTCATCTGAACTTGAGAGGTCATTTGTTTAAACCAGAGCTGAATGACTTTGACATGGGTTTTGGAAATTAAGATCATAAATTTTAAAGCTCATATGAAATAAATATTTCTGTTCCTCAGTGGAAGAAACAGGACACTGAAAATTAAGGTCAACAGTAGATAATTATTCTAAATGTTAAGTACATTTTTATCTCAAAACTTTTGTGTTTGTCGCCTTTGTGCCTGCCATATGTGCTCAGTAAATATTTGTATTGAGTTTAAAACTTACTGTGGTAGAAAGTGTAGAAATAGTTTATGTGGTCATAATCATTAATGGTACTCATTCCTTTGCAGAAGTGGCATGAAGATTATAGTTTGTTTCGAAAGGTGTCTGTGTATCTCCTAACAGGCCTGGAACTCTATCAAAAAGGAAAGTATGTTGGCCTTTTATGTCACTGAGATTATTATTGGCAGGACATTGTTATTTATTGATGTGCACCCCGGAATACTAAGAATCACAGCCATGCATCACGTCCCTCGTCACATGTGCCAGTGTGCCTCTACTTTTTCCAGTGTTGCATTTCAGATTTGCTCTGTACATCACATGTGTTTTTTCATCTTTCACATAATGATAGAATTATTAGTAAAGAGACGTAATGGCCCGATTTTCTATGTGGTAAATGAAGATGAACTCAGAGAATGAAATTTAGAGTTAGAATGGACCTTAGTGAGCATCTAGTCCTCTTCTTTGTTTTAGAGTTAGGGAAAACTGAAGGCCAGGGAAGTTTCATGATTTGTCTTGGGTTTCTTGGCCAATTTGTAGAAGAGCTGAGACTGGCTGCAGTCTGGCCCTCGGGCTTTTCCCAGTACCTGATGCTGCTTTCATCTTTAAGGCTTTTCCATAACTACAACCATGTAAATATTTGTATTAGGGAATAGTGAGGTCTAAACCCTGGGTTTTGGAAAGGAGAGCTCAGTTGTTGTTATCTGCCATTTCTAAGGTACCAGGAGGCCCTTTCCTACCTGGTGTATGCCTACCAGAGCAACGCCGCTCTGCTGATGAAGGGGCCCCGACGCGGAGTGAAGGAATCAGTGATTGCTCTATACCGAAGAAAATGCCTTCTGGTTTGTACTGTTTGTAAAGCCTTACAGTTTTTATTATATTATTGTCTTTACTTTTGCTCCAAGCCATGAAAAAATATAACTTAAAAAGCAAAATAGCCTGAAAGTTTTTTCAAAAAAGTTTGGAAAGATTTTTCCAAACTTTCAAGGGTAGTTTAACATTGAAACCAATTATTTTAAGTTAAAGTGAATATCATTCTTCTTTAATAGGATGACAGAAGTTGGGATGAGAATCAGTTATCTATCCTTTTTTTATTTTTATTTTTGGTGCCCTTTATGTATACCTACATTACAGTTTTTATCACATTGCTTTCCTACTAGATTGTGAGTTCCCTGAGCACAGATTTTCTTATTCAGCTGTTTTCCCTGTGTCTAGCATGTAGTAAGCATATAATAAATGTGTGTTGAAGGAATGCAGTGTTTTTTTTTCTGTGTTCCTTGCTAGGTGGGAGTTTTAGTGACTTAAAAGAGACCGCAGGTTTTTTTTAAAAGGTATGAACCCCAAGAATTGGTCCTGCCGGTCTGTTAATAGTGTTGTCATACACCACTGAAGATCTATCCCACCTGTTTTGCAAATGGCAGCAATATGGAAATGCAGACCCATATCCCCTCTGCCTACGCAAGAGTTTAATTAAACAGGTGTTTGTTCTTCAGAAAACTACAAAGAGGGGGCTTGCTCTCAGATTGTGTGCTTGTGTTTGTCTTCCCTGACACCCAGCAGAATTGCCCCTCACGGGGAGAGTCAGGTCAGCATTTCTACCACTGCCTTGTTGTTAATACCGAATGGAGGAGACGAAGTCATGACATACGAGTATATTGACCTCAAGAGCTTTATTTTCTGATTTATATTTTGATTTCTGTGTCAGTTATATGTGTGGCAGGGGACTTTGAAAAAAGGGCATTGTAGATTTGATGGATCTGAATTTTATTAGAGTCAGACTTTTATTTTTTAAATCTCCAAATACAGATCACATTTTGAATGTCCTGCTGTGCTTGCACAGGTGGGCAGTGGTAGTGATTTAGTTTGTGCCCATCGTTGGTCTCTCCCCTCAGTGTGCATGAGTCACCAAGGGAGCTTTCATAGTCCTGATGTACAGGCCCCTCCCCAGACACTTAAGCCTGAGCCTGGACATCAGCATGTCTTGCAGTTGATTCTGCTGCTCAGTGGCGATTGAGAACCATTGAATAGGGCTTTTGGTAGGAGCAAGTGTTAAGCATGACCTTGACTTATAAGTTTAGGCCAGTGGGTCGGAGGCTTAGCTGCATTAGAGTCATCTTTGGGAGCTTTTAAAAAAATCCCAGTGCCTACGTCACCTGCATACCAATTACATCAGCATGTCTGGGGTGGGGCATCATAGTTTTTTGTTTGTTTGTTTGTTTGTTTGTTTGTTTTTTATTGGTGAATTGGGGAGGGGAACAGTGTTGGAGAATTGGGGAAGAGAAACATTATGTTTTTCCAGGACCCATCAGCTTCAAGTCAAGTTGTTGTCCTTCAATCTTAGTTGTGGAGGGCGCAAGCTCAACTCTAAGTCCAGTCACCGCTTTCAGTCTGGTTGTGGGGGGTGGCATAGCCCACCATCCCATGCGGGAGTCAAACTGGCAATCTTGTTACACACTGAGCCATCCAGCTGCTCAGCTCAAGGTGCCTTGTTCAATCTTAGTTGCAGGGGGTGGGGTGGGGGGCATGCAGCCCACCATCCTATACGGGTGTCAAACCAGCAACCTTGCTGCTAAGAGCACATGCTCTCACCAGCTCAGTGGCAGCTCAGCTCAGGTGCAGCTCACTGGCCCATGTGGGAATCGAACCGGCGACCCTGTTGCTCAGAGCTCGCGCTCTTAACCAACTGCACCACTTTGCCAGCCTGGACATTGTAGTTTTTAATGGTTCTCCAGGCATTTCCAATATGCAGTAAAGTTTGGGAACCACTTGTTTAGGATCTTCTAAAAAATGGTATTTGTCTTTTTCAGACTTTTTTTTTTTTCTCCCATGCTGCCTTTTATCTGTAGGAGCTGAATGCCAAAGCGGCTTCTCTCTTTGAAACAAATGATGACCACTCTGTAACAGAGGGCATCAATGTGATGAATGAGTTGATCATTCCCTGCATTCACCTTATCATTAATAATGATATCTCCAAGGATGATCTGGATGCCATTGAGATCATGAGAAAACATTGGTGCTCTTACCTTGGGCAAGATATTGCAGGTATGTTGTGTTTAGCACTTCCAATAATTGCTAAGGCTCTTGAGAATTGTAGACATTACAGTGGTCTTACTCTGTAGCACTGGTTGTCACATCTTTTTAAGGGGTTATTGGAGCCCCCTAGCACATAAATGAGTTAAAAGTACATCTGCTCCATTGAAACAAGGGACGGGAGCCTGGGCCTCTGGGCCTCTCAGCCTCTGCTTACCTCCTCTGTTGCTGCTAAAGCATCTCCACAGGCAACCAGGGAGCCCTGTTTGAAAACATCACTGCTCTCCAGGAGTGTCACACTTCCATTGCTTTTTTATGTGCCAAAACCTGAATTCTAATTTTATAGTTTAAACATCAAAATCTATTTATGCAGCTTGATTGCCTGGTGGTGCCATAACTAAATTTTCCTCTGACTTGAAGTATCAAAATATAATCATATTAACTCTGATGCCTTTGAGATTAATAAATTAGTAAATGCAATATTCTTGTTTGTACAAAGCATTTTGGAGAGGCATCCTAAGATAGTTTTTTTTTTTTTTAGGTGAGTTTGGTAGGCTTAAAACATTGGTGTATATTCTAAATGAATGCTTTTAATGTCTTCAGTTTTTATTTAGACCATCTGTGATGCATAGCTTAGTGCCATGTGTACACACTGTTATATTTTGATCGTTTGAAAGAAAGTAGCACCATTATATTTATGGTACAGAGTGTTATATCCACTTTCTCAAAGTTTAAAAGGATGATTGATTAGAAGACTTATCCATAATGCAGTGAATATATAGTGTTGTTCTGCCGCAGGTCTGATCGTTTAAAACAGTGACCTAAAGCTGTGGAATATTTGGCAAGTAGGGTTTTGCTCCTGGTTTGGCCTGAAAGAGTCATCATTTGTTGTTAGCTGGCCAGAATAATGCTTTGACCTTTAAGGTTGGGTAATGGGCTATTTGGAGGGCTGTATAGTTGCAGACTTACTGGTTTTTACTCAGAGATCTATTTAGCTGTGTGTGTAACTATGCATTTTCCCTCCACAGAAAACCTGCAGCTGTGCTTAGGGGAGTTTCTACCCAGACTTCTAGATCCTTCTGCAGAAATCATTGTCTTGAAGGAGCCTCCAACTATTCGACCCAATTCTCCCTATGACCTTTGTAGCCGATTTGCAGCTGTCATGGAGTCAATTCAAGGGGTTTCAACTGTGACAGTGAAATAAGCCCCCACGTGTTCAAGGCCCCGCCTGGCCTTTGGTGGCCTGCCTATTGCACAGATGCCTGTTGTCACAGTGTTTACCGTGGGAAAGGAATTAGGTGAAAAAGTGAGATTTGGATCCAGACCCCAACCATGCTGCGTGTGTAACAAAGGATTGAAAAGAAAATGGCACTTTTTAGGAATAGAATCACAAAAGCAATTTCACTAAAAAAGGCAGGAACCAGTATATTAAGGTGTCTAATTATGCCAGAAGAACTGAAATGGCCTCTTGTACCTACAAGGATGCTTGGGCTTTTCTAAGCCTTTGCCACTTTTAAAATTATCCTTCAGGCATAAATATTTTTGACAGTGGAATAGAAGGGTGATTCATCAGAACCCTAACCGGATGAACAGCTACTAGTTATTCTATCAAATACAGATGACATGTAAAAATCCTGGCTCTTGACAGGAGATGACAAAATGGGTTGCTGATAAACCACCACCACCCTTTTACATGTGGGTAGAATCATGTGGCTGTAAGATGCTGAAAAGTCAAAAGAAAGCTGCCTTTCCTTTCTTTCTTTTCTCTCTTTTATATTTTTCAATAAACCAGAAAACCTCATGCTCAGTCCTGAGTGAAAGAAAGGAGAGCATTAAGGACTTTAAATATAACAGCATTGTGAAACTTGACTAAAAGTAGTGGGTTTGTTTGTTTGTTTTGTTTTTCTAAATGAGAAAGTGTGTATATGTAAACTCTTGGGTGTCCTATACTAGAATGGTTGACCCTTTTTTTGGTGGGGGGGGGCTTTATTTTTTTTATTTAAGTATAGCTGGTATACAATATTATGTTAGTTTCAGGTGTACAATATAGTGATTTATATACTTTATGATGCGGTCACCACACTAAGTCTAGTAATCACCTGTCACCATGCAAACCTATCACAATATTATTGGCTGTATTTCCCTTAACCTTTTTGACCCCTCCCCCCACCCCCTCCCCTCTGCATAAAACAAAACAAAAACAGTCTCATAGAAACAGAGATCAAACTAGTGGTTAAAGAGTGTTTTGATAGTTGTTAACCATTTAGGTAAAATTTTCTATCATCAGAAAATTGTCAAAAACAGATGTCTAAGGTTGTTGGCCCAAAAGAACATTTTGATACCCTCCCCCTTTTGCTTTGAAAAAATAAGGGATGTGGATTTGTAAAAAGGAAAAAAAAATCTATATATATGTATATGTAGAGAGAAATATCCCCTGTTGACCATTTTTTAAAAAGCTCCAGATTGGGTATTATGTTTTAAACAAAATTTTTGATTAAGGAGGGAAACATGGAAGGGAAGAATGCTTGATAGAACTATGCAGATTTTATAAATGTGCAATAAAAGTATTGTTTTACCTTTGGTGTCCAGCATGGCCTTTATTTAAATGTATATTTTCTATTTTGGAAGTGGATAGACCCAGAAAGCATTTGTCATGTTTCAGTCTTTCTTTTTTAAAAGATGTAAATTAAGGAGTTGAGAAGCTTCATGGGCTGAAATAAGAGCAGACAATGGTCAGCGCCGGAGCAGCACCTGGTGACGGGTAACTTTGTATCTCATTTGTTAGTTGCAGTGTATGTAAGTTCATCTACTCTCTAATTTGTCAAATTTAGAAGGAAAAAAAATTATTTTTCTAAACTGAATTTTTTATATTTTGATTAAGTTAATGGTTTGGCCGTCTTTTACAGATATTCAGAGGTGCTTTAGTGTTTTAAAGCTCATGGCAAAGATTTGTTTCATGGTAAATTGAGCAATATTCTTACCCAGTGATTTCCTTTTACTGTTCAAAATTCTAAGTACCACCATTTATTTACCTTTCACTTCTAAATCCCTGTCATTATTGAATACTGTACACAGTTATATTATTTCACTTAATGTAACAACCCTGGGATGACGATGGGGACTATGATTTGTCTAAGGTCATAGATGACCTGAGTAGTGGAGCTGGGACAATAACGCTCTGTGGTCTCACTTGACAGCCTGTGCTTTTAACAGCTGCTCAGTTGTCCTTGGTTGTCTTGGAAATCTTTTGCTTTGTACCTTTCCACATTAGTTATTTTCTGGTCAGCTACTGAGAGTCTACAGTCTGCCAAGAACAGAACTGATGGACATCTAGAGTGTGCAGTGTTGAGTAGTTTGTAAGCTTGGGATCCACTCAAACCACCAGGGGGAGTGCTAAGAACTAATTTCTTTTTTCTCACTTTAGCTGGCTGCCTTATGCCCAGCCTGACTTCTTACAGGGTCCACACACTGTCTCACACTAAGAATAAGAATGGTTTTTACATATTTAAAGGGTTGTGAAAAAAGGATGAGGGGAATGGAGATGGGGAGAGGAGGAAGAGGAATAAAACGATGTGACTCCTACCTAAAATGATTCAAGAGTTTGGGCAGGGTACTTTTCCAAAACACAAATTCAGCATAAATTCCTTTGAGACTGGGTTTAGACTTCCGGTGGTTAACTGGAATTGCAATCCTCTTCTGTTTGAATTTGTTACCTCTTTTAAGAACAGTGACGCATAGTAACATATTTACCCTACCTACTTCAAAAAAGAGGTGTGAGGAGAATACACATACAACAGAAGAATTTAAATAATGAACTAGATGCTAGTATTGAATGATGCGCTGGGCTGTAGCAGGGATAAGACAGAAGAGGAAATTTATTGTAGCTGTAGTTTATTTTCACTGCTTGGTATATTGTATTTCATTGTATAAATATATCTTATAATTTGTTCTGCTAATTGTCATTTGAGTTTCCAATTTTTGGCTACTACCCATAGTGCTACCAGGAACATTCATGTATTATCTGACAATTACGTTCACAAACTCATCTTAGAAAAAGCGCTACATACCTCATTGCTGAATATCACTATGGTCACCTTCGAAGTACTCCCTTTGGGAAGCTGTACACTGATGCCAGTGCCTAGTCCACCCTTCAAAGCAATTTTGGAACTCTTTTTCTGGAATGGCCATCAGAGTTGTCGTTGTATTACCCTTGATTTCCTGAATATCATCAAAATGTCTTCCTTTCAATATTTCCTTTATCTTTAGGTAAAGAAAGAAGTCGTTGGGGGCCAGGTCAGGTGAGTAGGGAGGGTGTTCCAATACAGTTATTTGTTTACTGGCTAAAAACTCCCTCACAGACAGTGCCATGGGAGCAGGTGAATTGTCGTGATTCAAGAACCATGAATTGGTGAAAAGTTCAGGTCGTCTAACTTTTTCACGCATCCTTTTCAGCACTTCCAAATAGTAAACTTGGTTAACTGTTTGTTCAGTTGGTACAAATTCATTATGAATAATCCCGCTGATATCAAAAAAGGTTAACGTGTTGCAACAAGTTTGCAAACTTAATTGTCAAACCTTCGTATGTCTTGATGCACATATAAATGCATTTTTGTTAGTATGTAGCTATGAGTGGAATTACTGGGTCATAAGAATAGACATATTTTTATTCGGTACTGCCAAATAGTTTTCCAAAGCAATTACAACAATTTACATTTCTACCAGCAGTTTATAAGAGTTCCAGCTGCACCATATTCTTCTCAGGATTTGCTTTTGTCAGTATTTTTAATTTAGCCATTTTGATAGATGTGCAATGACATTGTTTTAATTTGCACTTCCAGAGTGCATAGAGATGTTGAGCATATCCGTGGACCTAGTGATCTTTGGCTATTCTTTTTTGTGAAATGCCTATGTAAGTCTTTTGCCTACATTTTTGTTGGATTTTCTTTTTCTGATTGATTTATGGAATCTCTTGGTTATATGCATTACACATATCTTCTCCCACTCTGGTTTTTCACTCTTGATATCTTTGATGAAAACAAATTTCTAATGTTAATGTCCAACTTATCAGTTTTTTCCTTCATGGTTAGTGCTTAGTATACCCTGTTGAGATTATTACCAAGGTCATGAAGATACTCTGTATTATATTCTAGCAGTTTTGTTATTTTACTTATTTTGGGGGGGGTACTGGGGAAGGGGAACAGCCAAGTTGTTGTCCTTCAATCTTAGTTGTGGAG